TTATTATTGTTTTTAATCTCGATTGCCGTTCATATAAAAGGGGGGGGGAAATAAGGAAGTTCCCATCGGTGAGTTCTTTCCGGGATGAATAAGCTCAATTTTTATTTTATTTTATTTTTTCACTTTAGGCAAGTTACACTGATTTAATCAAAATGTTGTATAGAAAGCCTAACATTGACTTGTTTAATCCAAAATAATAAAAACAGCAACAACAATGATGCAATATTTTTATATGTATTTTTGAGGCAAGTGTATAAATTGTTTATAAAGTAAACAATAATAAATGCAATATCAAAAGGAAAAAAAAGCTTAATTATGACAAGGCTCAATTTTGAAGGCTCGTGCACCATTTTACAAACAAAAAGAAAGAAAAAGCTTGTATTACATTCATCTTTCAAGCATTGGGGGAGGGGAGAAAGACAATTTTATTATACTTGTATACATGTTTTATAAGATAAAATATCTATATTTATAACATGACATAGCGTTATCTATATTGTATGACATCAAGCTTCATATAAAAATAACCATTTTAGAAGAAATAACATGCTAAGGAATATTTTACCTTCCTTCCTACACCCCTTTCCTCCCCCCAAAAAAAAATCTTTTTCTTCTTCCCTAAATACTATTCAAGTAATAACAGAGAAGACACTTTATTTTATTTATTTATTTCAATATAAATATATGTGTTTGTCTTTGTGTTGGTATGTGTAAATTTAAAGAAATGTGATTATACATTTATATAGAAAGTAAAGTGGAAAAAAAAAAAAGGAAATTAAGGTACCAAAAAAAACACTTGTATAGAAATACATATAAATATTACAAAAAAGGGTTATATCATTGGCAATTAGAAACGTCATACAGTAATAGAATCCTTATGAATATATATCAATTTACTAGTTAGAAACTTGTTTGATACTGATTATATACAGTATTAATTTTGACTAAAACAATAGAATAAAACTTTCAATGAATAAAACTTTCAATGAATAAAACTTTCAATGGCTTGCTTGATACATTTACTGTTTGTTGTGGTGGAATTGTCAAATATACAATCCCAAAAGAAAGGAGCAGATAGAGAAGAAAATGAATTAAGAGAAAGGAGCAGATAGAGAGGAAAATGAATTAATAGAAAAGCGTCATAAGCTTTTAAAATAATTATCTCCAAGTTTGATTCAATCATGTTATTGTACAAATACTTGAAGTATTCAATTTATATGCCATAAAACATCTTGTATCTCTTTTTTGGTTATTACACCCCGTAATCTAACATATTCATGAATACAAAGTTCATCTGAAAACGAACTATTATTACTACTTTATAACTGTAATTAATAGTACCAACTATATCAAGCAAATGAGCAATTATTTCCCATATTCTACCCTAATACTATTTTTCATTATTCTGTGAAGATGTCTATCTACAAATATCTTTATTGAATATTGTGTAGGTATTTTTTTTTCTTTAACTACTTTGTAACTAATGAATTGTAAACACAGTATATTTCAACAAAGGAAACATCATTTAATATCAAATATCCAAGAATAACGTAAACTATTTTAGCTATTTTCTTTTGAAAAGAGACTATACTATTCTTTATATATAAAACAGAAATATTCTAGAATTGTATAGTTTCTCTTCCATGTAAATGTATTTTATAGGCAACTATAACATTTAAAGAAAAAAGTTCTTTTAATCCTACTCCTATTTTGAACTAGTGATGTTTGATATCCCGTCTTGATGTCTTTAGGTTTCTTTGAATATTCGACAGTCAAATGCTCATGATGCATTGTATTAATAGTCATCTTTTCTTTCTACTAGTTGTTTACACTCATAGTTCTATAATAAATGGCATTCATTCTTAACCATTTATCTCCCGCCTCTTCCCACCTCAATTTTTTTTTTAAAAAAAAAAAAAAAAAAAAAAAAAAAAAAAAAAAAAAAAAAAAAAAAGAACCATTCAAGTTGTGACCACCGTATTATATTATTCTTTTTTTATTTAACCTTTTGATTCTTAATTACACAAAATCTATATTGACAAGTCGTGTAACTCCTTTCATTTTTTTTTCTTTTTTTTTTTTTTACGGAAAACCTTGAATCAGCAAAACCGATAAAAAAGTGAGGCAGAGAAGGAGAGTGAGTGAGTGAGTGAGTGAGTGAGTGAGGAAAAAAAAAAATATAACCTGATTATTAGAAATTTTACTCTATAATATCCGTGCACAACAAAAAAAAGACACATATAAATAAAAGAAATCTTATTTAACTTGACTATTGTCCTTAGTGAAAATAAACAAAATAATTTAAAAATATTAACTTTTAGTTGCTTTCTCTTTGTCTTCTTTCTCTCTCTTTCTCTTTAACTTTATATTTCTCTTCATGTCTAATTCAGTGCAACAAACTCAGGTTAATCATCAGCCGTATGAAATGATGAATCCAGTTCTTTATCAACAGCAACAGAATTCTGATCATTATATAATTCAACAACAAAATTATTTAATGCCTCAACAACTTCAACATTTGCGTCATGTTCAAGAGCAAGATGTTATTCAGCAACAAAGAGCAAGACTTTATCAACAAAGTAAGAAAGAGGATCTGATATTTGTTATATATATTAACCATCTTTTTTCCTAGTGATGATGTACCAACAGCAATCAACTAATTTGAATAATGATTCAGTTGACTACATGTCATTACAAACAAGTTATCCTGATTATTCATCATGTATAACTGAACCAACTTCATCTACAAGGTATAATTTTCATATTCATTCATTGAAAACTTACATGTATTCTCATGCTTGTTTTCGTTAGTCAATCTTATCAAAATGAAGAAAAGCCAATTAGCAAAGCACAAAAAAGGGCTGAGCATAATGCCATTGAACGTGCTCGTCGTGAATCCCTTAATACTAAATTTCAACAACTTGCTCATTCTTTACCAAACTTACAAAATGATCGTCGTCCTTCTAAAGGAACCATTATTGAACGTACTCTTGAATATGGTAATCTTTTTTTTACCACCCTCTTAAATAAATATATGAGTCTATCTTAATCATTAACAAATAATATTAGTAAGACAGACGGTACAGAAAGAAGAAAATCTTAAAAATGAAATTGATAGGCTTCGTCAAGCAAATGAAGAATTAATATCAAAGATGACAAGTCAACATTTTAATCACTATGAAGAAGACAATGATGACAAAATCTCAACAACACCTGAATGTGATGATAATTTCAGTAGCCAATCCTCTGTTACTTCAATCTCTTCACAACCGATGTATTCTTCCTTTATAACACACCCATCATCTAACAATAACATAAGTTCTCTTATAAAGCAGCAAAAAGGTAATCCATTCAATAATACATTAAAAAAAAAAACTTACTAACTATTTATATAAATGTCTAGAACCTTCTCCGTTTCTTATGAACAAAGGTATGATATACCATACATAATGCATTGTTTACTTATAAAAGAGAAGGATATTTGTATAATAGCTTCCAATGATACTCATTTCTAAGCTTTATATATTACATTCGTTTACTACTCTTTCTTTTTTTAAAAACATTCTTTAATTCTATTGTTTCCCTCAATACATATATTACTCATATCGACATACAAGTACATATATAATGACCAATTACACATAACAAGCATTGATTGCAAACCCTCTTTTTATTTAAATGCACAATGGCGTATATAGTCTTTCCTATCATTCTTATTTATATATAATACTGTATATCCCATTATGATTCTTATTTATATATACACATATTCTCTATTGATAACTTCTTCTCATACATATACGCATACACTCGCACTCACACTCACACTCACGCACACGCACACGCATACATACACACACACACACATACACACACACACACACACTCTCTCTCTCTACTCTCTTTTATATCTTCTTCATGCATCATATATATTTGCTTCAAGTATAATAATAAAGTTACTATGGATATACAAGAGTTGTACAAGTCCATGAGGAATTGGCATGTATTCGTGATACGTTTTATGAATGTGTCTCGGGATCTTCCCGTATCATTATTATTATAGTAACATAAACTAATTAAAAAAGACATATTCATTATGCTGAATAATATCAGGCAACATTTAAAATCTTTATAACATGCTTAAAGAAACTAATCAATTTACTTGAAAAGGTATTCATGTATAATTGTTCATTTATTTGTTTATTATTAACAAGCTTTGTATATATATATGTATAAGGTGTATAGTGATATATATTCATATATTTATATGTGCATATAAAAGGGGATGTGGTGGTGGTGGTAGGGATATTTATATATGTATATATGTGTATATGTATGTATATGTATATATGTATGTGTATATTATATTATATTATATTGTATGTTATATTTGAGTCTAAAAGGTAAGCTATAGTACATGCTCTGCTTTGTTTTGCTTTGCTTTGCTTTGTTTCTTTTTTTTTAAAAAAATAAAAATAAAAAAAAAGAACATTTAACTTTCTTGTTCTTTCATTTCAAGAGCTACTCTTTCCATACGTGCTTTCCTCCAACGAGGACCAAACTTTAATAGCACAGGAATTAAAATATTAGATGCAATACAAATGAGACCAATAATGGTAAAAATCCATCCAGCGCCTACACCTTGAATACCGGGTTCTATACTCACAGTCGCAACGGCACCTAACAAACAACGGACTAAATTATTAGAGGCGGTAATGGTAGCACTTTTACCAGGGAAGAGGTCAACGGCCAATGTCTGAAAGACATTAAAGACGGATGTATTGGCAAATCCAACGATAAATTGTAATACAAGAATGACGGCAAGTGGGGCACGAATATAAAGCATCCAACCATAAAATAAGGTAATGACTTGGATTAAACCTGCATTTATCCAAACTGAACGAAGACGAGCTTTAAAGATGGGGAAATCGATGGGAAGTTTGCCTCGTGTTGTGTTTTCAAAACCAGATTGCTTTGCAATAATTCTAAAATCACGATTTAATAATCTACCTTCTACAAACGATCCTAGAACACAACCAACGCCCTGACATAAAAAGCAAAGACCGATTTGAATCTCACTCATGTTATAGATGAGTACAAACTGACTTGGAGTTGAGGTTAGGTAACAGTAATAAGTAGCATAATGAATTGCATTATAAATTAATGCGACTGCTATATCCTTTTCTAATAAATAAAGGAAAGGTTGAGTGACGTTTGGGATTTGAAGGAAACGACTTTTTTGATTTCCTTTATTTTCATGAATAATGGTTGAGCAACTATCATCATCAGCTATTACTGCTGTTGGTGTCGATTCTTTTTCCTTCTTGGCTGCCTTACGTCTTTGCCACCATTGATAAGGTGTTGGATTAGCATAACCAGAGCCATTGTTCACAAGAGATCTTAACGTCTCGGGCAAAAAGAGGAAAATGACAATGAAAAAAGAAGCACCCACTATTAATAAAATCCAAAAGATCCATCTCCATGAGAGATACTCTGCAATGATACCGCCTAAAACAGGTCCAATCACAGGTCCCAACATTTGACCCATTGAAAATATCCCAAAGTAGCCACCACGTTCTGAGGGGGTCGCAATGTCACCTACAACTCCCGCACCAATAGCAACTACAGAACTCGATCCAAACGCTTGAAGCATTCTCAAGATGAGTAAAACATAAAATTTAGGAGCTAATGCAAGACCAATACAGGAACCCATATAGACAACTAAAGTAGAGAGATAAACGGGTCGACGTCCCCAAAGATCAGCTAATGAACCCCAAAAGGAAGGTGAAATACCTTGAAATATCATATAGACTGTTACTGTTAAATTTACAAGTTCAGTCGTTGTGTTTAAATCCTATTACAATAATATAAAATTGTAAGCAATTTCTTTTTTTTTTTTTTTCCCTTTTTCTTTTTTCTTAAAAAAAATTTTTTTTTTTTTGGTATTATTATTATTATTACACACTTTTTGAATTGCATCTAATGCAGGAAAATAAATATTAGCAGAAAGTGGTGATACAATGCCAGCAAAACAACAAATAACGACAATTAATAGTTTAGTTTTCTTTGAAAAAGCTGAAAATGTCTCTAACGAATCTTTTGTCTTTTCTGCTGGTTGTTCCAAGTCTTGATCAAAAGCTGTCATTGTACTTTCCCGACTGCTGTGTAAACTATCATGTTCTTCTTCATGATTATTTTGTTGTTGTTCAATAGCTTGTGACATTCTTAAAGTAATTTTTATATGTCTGATCTTATTTAAGACGAATAGCGTTTAAATAAATAAGATTTATGTAATAATTATCATTGAACTTAATGAACCCTTAAACGACAAGAACAACAACAACAAAAAAAAAAAGGTCGAGTTTTTATATTATAAGGTCCATAAATTTTTTTACATAATTCCAAGACAAATTGTTCATATTTAGTAGTTGAGAAACGAAAACGATTCGGGATTAAATCTTCGAACTTTTTTTTTTTTTTTCTTCTTCTTCTTTTACTTGAACTGGATAGATATCTATAATAAAAAGATTAACGCTAATCATTTTAAAAAAATAAAAATAAAAATAAAAATGATATAATATTAAGAAAGAAAAAGAAAATTCTACCATCTTGATTTTATTAATAAGATAAAATGGTCTTTTAAAAAAAACATGAAATTATTATATTTGTATATATTATGTATTTATTCATATATTAAGTAGTAATAGTATGAAATGAAACAAACCCTCTTTATTTCTTTTTCTTTTTTTTTCCAGAAAATATAATAGTTTCTTCATTATTAAGCATCTAATAAATAAGTATGTAGTCGTACCTCTTCCTCCTGTCCTTTTTTTTTTATGCAGCTATAGTTTCCGGTTTATATAAAACTTTATGGTTGTCATAGTTATCTTATTTTACGTTAAAGTATATGTTTTTAATAAATATAGACGATTGTTAAACATTTTGAGCTCCATAATCTCGATTATTTCCATTTTTGGAATTATCATACATAGCCACTCTATCAACACGCCACTCTATACTATTTCCTTTTATCTTGTCTTTTATCTCTTTTCTCCACTTTTTTTTTTTTTATCAAAGCCAGTTCATATACAAATATTTATTATTTGTTATACCCCACAATAAACAAAAAATGAAAGCATTATTTGCACCACAAATCACTTTTTTTTTTTTTCTTTGTTACTCATTTTAAAGTTGACTGCTGTCATTAAACCCGTTTTATATTTAAAATTGTGTTACCTCACTCCTTTAGAAAAAAAAAAAAAAAAAAAAAAAAAAAAAAAAAAAAAAAAAAAAAAACTACATATATGGTTAGATAGAAATTATACCAAATATAGTAAACAATAAAATTATTATATAACAAGACTGTCAATTAATCTTCATCTTCAAAGAAAGAATCTAAACTTGCTAATTCTTCTATCATAAAAGTATCTTCTATTGAATGTCTATTGTTGTAATTAAGAGGATCTATAGAAGATTTTCTTGAAGAAATATCCTGAAAAGAGGGAGTCTTTACACAAATAGTAGATGATGACTCGGAAGAATTAAAATTCATAATTTCATCAGGGTCTTCGAATAAGGTACTAGAAGAAGGCATTGGCATTATTAAGCCTCCACCTGTCATCATTGTTATGCTACTGTTACTTGTTGAGTGTTGTCTTTTTATGCTTGATGCAGGTGAGGAAGTAGGCGTTGACTGACTTTTACGCATAAAAGAAGTAAAAAGGGAGGGAGAAGATGGTTTATCAACGTTATGATGAGCCCTTTTTTTAACAGTATTTTCAGTGACAGACTTTTGTTCATTATCAGGGTTGGTTAATATGGGTTCTGACATGATGATGGAAGGTCGAGTTGAGTTTTTCTCTTGCGCTTTATACGATTCTTGAGTAAAGATTAAATCATAGTTTTCGATTAAATCTTGTAGTAATCGTTGTGAATATCGTTCATGAAGACTTATGTTCGTTTCAATTTGCGGTCTCAAAAGGATATAACTAAATGTTTTTGCTATCGATATCGTACATTGTTGGGTATCCGTTTTAATCTCTTGGATTAATTTATGAAAATGTTGAAAAAGTAGCATCACAGTATGATAGTTTGATGTTGGTAATGTTGCAAGTAATTTGCTTATAGATGCCAATCGACTATTTTGGTCTTGATCTATAGTACGTGTACATTTCATATATGTGTATATAACAAAGAAATATATATTTTTTATAACTTACGATTAGAATATATTAATTTACAGGGCTCATATAATTCAAACGTGAATAAACATTGTGGCAATTCTAATAGATAAAGTCGTACGAGTGATGCAAGTAGTAAAAGATCAAATTTTTTCAACATATCTATAGTAAGCAGCTTTTTACTAGAAATATTAATTTCATCTCGAGCTGCATATACTCTATCCAATGGTAAATTGGCAGTCCATACAACGCTCTTTTCTGTATAAATAAAATGATGAACTCTTTCTCTTCTTTGTTATATATATATATCTTACCTTCATCATATAATTTTGAAAATCCTAAATTATATAATATATAAATTACATACATTAATATAAATATATGTATATGATGAAATAATACCTAATTCAATTAAAGTGATGCCTTGAGATATCAATTGTGGAACTAATGAATTTTGTACTCTTGTTACTTCTTCTAGTGGAACACCAAAAAGCTGATCTGTTTTAATATATAAAGAAGAGAAGAAAAAAAAATATATATGTATTTATATATTTATATATATACACATATAAAAAATAAATGACTATAATCTAAAGTAATTATTAAACCTTCAGTTATTCCAGTAAAGTAATTCTCATATAATATAGTTCGAGGACAAAACTGCCCTGTTCGATATTGTTCAACTATAAATTGAACATCTTTATCAGGCCTTAATGTTTCTTGATATAACATCATAGCATCAACTCTCTCTTTAGAATGCATAATTGAATGTGACATAAATTGAGACATACTAATAAATGCTATAAAGAATATAATAAATAATTATTATGTTTATAAAAGTAATTAATATATACCTTGTTTAATACTTTTAATTCGTTCAAATTCTAGAGCCTCCATCTCTTCATAATGAATAAGTAATATTTGTTCAGTCTGAGTACGTATCTTTTCTGCCTGTGTAATCGTCTTTCGATAGGCTTTATCTGCTTCCAACATTTCAATCATAAGATTCTCTCTTTTTGATTCTTGATTTCCCCATCGACTCAAGAATCCTGAAAATCTACCATTATTATTACTAGTACTACTATGACTACTACTAGTACTAGTACTATTTCTTTCTTCTAACTCGTCAGGTTTCTCTCCTTTATAATACATATCTTCATTATCGGACTTGATTAAAAAACGTATCTCCATCAAATTCTTAAGCACAACTTCTAATTCCTCTTCTTCTTTCATATCATTCTTCAAGATATTTAATATTTGATCCTTTGAATAAACTCTATTTTTTTCACTACCAACCAATGTATCAAACCAATTCCAAGCATAATCTCGAGTATCAAATTGTAACAAACTTCCAATTTGGATCTTTGTGGTATCATTGTTTTCAAACTTGAAGTCCGGGAAATGATTTAATATTAGTTTACACTTATTTTGATACATTGTTTTAGCTCCTTCCATCGTCTTCCAAGCTACATTGAATTGATTGAGTTGCTTCTCCACTGTCTCTTTAGATTGGAGGATGATACTTTCATATTGTTCAGTGAATTTCAAAAGAGGTTCAAGTGCTTTAGTCTCAATATGATCCGCAAGTTGTCTATACTCTTCTCCACATTCTGCACTTTCAGTTCGAATTATTTCAAAGCATTTCTTTAAACTGGCTCCAATATCATTTTCAAAGGGATTACTCTCGTTAAGTATTGATAAAGACACAAGTGTTGATGCATGGTTTCTTTCAGTTGTAATCCGTTGCTTCATATATTCTATTATTACCTTATTTTCTGTCATTGATTGTTGAAGCTTTGTATGAAGTACATTAAACCCCATGTTGAAATTAGGCATTGGATCTATAGAGGCTGTAGGTGACCAAAACGATGATTGAAATGAACAATGAGATGGCATGTTTTGATTAACACAGAAAATAATAATAATAATAATGATAAGGTGTTGAAATTAAATGATATATATACACATATATATCATGGACATTATTTAATTATTTGGCAACACAATGCATATTATTTTGTTGAAATAATAAACTGTTCATGCTCTCAGGATACATGAAAAATACGATTTGATTGGTTAATAATAATCATTCGTTGTTGTTGAAAAAAAACCGTTATTGTTTTTTAAAAAAATAAAATAAAATAAAATAAAAAAATTACATACTATTTACCTCATTTGTGTACAAAGTTGTATTGCCTAGTGACTGTCAGATCAGAAAAGGGGAGGGAGTAGTAAGGAAAACGTTTTTGATATAGTCAAAAAAAAAGAAAAAAAGAATTAAAATTCTATATAGAGTAAAATCCAAGAATCAAACAAACCATTTATTGCTCTGCTTACAATACAAAACCCTTCCCCCCCTCCTCAATATATACGCACTTGAATATTATCAAAATGCGTTATGCCTACTATTTTTTTATTTCTCTTGGATACTTATGCAAGAGAGATTTTTTTTTTTGTATCTCTGCCCAAGGTAGTTACTAATAGCAACATAGGAAGAAAGCAAAATTATTGCCTAGTCGACGTAGAGGGAAAACTGACGCACTTGTGATAAGATGAATAAATAATTTTGCTAGTAATTAACATGTGTTTTCCATTTCCTTATGACGTATAAAATAAACTACATAAACATATATTAATTATTACTGTTCCTATATTAATGAATCCTTTTTATATGCTTTCTCCTTTTGGGATCCGCAATTCGTATTGTCTATTTTATTTTATTTTTGTATATGTGCATGTATTCTTAAAAGAAAAAAAAAAGAAAGAAAAAGCTTTTGAACAAAGTGTAATTAGGGAGACATAAGGCATATTAAATCTAGAAAATAAGTGGGCCAAGATTAGGTCTCCTTTTACAAATAAATAAATGAATGAATATTTTATATATGCGTGTATATATTTATGTATCTATAAATGACTTGATATAAACAGGAAATAGATTTCTTCTCTATTATTATGGATGACAAGCTTTACTCTCCTCTTAGATGTCTGCTACTGTTACGAGTTTTACGAGGCTTTGACTGACATTTGGTGTTGTTTGTTATTGGAGATGTATTAATGAATTCAACAGGTATTAAGCCACGCATCATTTGATCAGATTCATTATTATTTATGTGATAGTCATTTCCATTTGTATTAGAACTCTGTTGCGAAGTATATCCACTATCATTGGACTTTTGGTATTTTGGTAATTTTCGTTCATTACCTATCATGTTTATTAGAAGAATAGAAGCTATTAGTATTATTAAGTTTTTTCTTTTCTTTATTTTATTTTATTTTATTTTTTTTTACTGTATTTATATTAGTATTACCTTTGACAGTATATGCATCTATTGATTCACTACCAGTACTACTACTATTTTCAGTTGAAATATCATTAGAACTAATATCAGCTATACCACCTCCATTAATGCTATTATATACATATATATATATATATTTTGTATTTATATTAAATATGCTGATATATAACATCATTGTTTAATTACCTTTCAGATGATAAAGTTTGCTTTGCCTTTTTTCTCATTCGACTTACCATTTGATTGGCAGCCTCTTGTTTAGCCTTAAAATCTTTTAAATATTCTTTATAATGCTTGTATTCCGGGGTTAATCGATATTTTTCAAGTGCAACTAAATATTTGTCCTTTGCTTTAGTAGCCATGCGTTCATAAGTTTGCTTTTGAACACAACTAAGCGCCTTCCATTTTTCACCTACAATTTTTGCTAGTTCAGCGAATGAAAGTTGCTGATCTTTTAACTCAGCACGAGAATCATTAGAGAACATGATATAAGCCGACGGTGGTTTGACAGGGGCATTTTGATCAGGTTTAGGATGTCGTCTATACTTTCGTTTTATAGGTACAGATTCATTCGTATCTGTTGAATCATGGTCATCTATTGAAGAAGAAATACTTGAATTACGAGATTTAACTAAGGAATTAGATACTGGATTGTTTCTCTTTTTATATGACTTGGAACTGTTGCTACTATGACTATTACTACTGTTAATACTCATATAAGCATGATTATCTGCAGTCGTAGCATTTCTTGAGGACTCTCCTCTTTGTTGATTCTTTAACTTTACAAAATACATATTAAAATCTTTGTTGTTGCTACTTTCAAAATCATTATTCATATTCTGGGGACTAGTGACAAACATCCTATTCGAATTATAAGTAGCCATCATATTATTATTATCCAGCATTGGATTTCCACCAGAAAAATGGTTTTTAAAGTTTGCATTGCTTGTTCCTGTCTCTTCTAATTTAACAGGAAGAATAGTCGAATTAAACTCAGAAGCATATTCTAATATGAATATAAATATACATATATATATATATGAATAAACAGAATAATATATAAAAAGATGCAAATACGTTATACATTACTTGGACTTGATATATTTGTAACAATAGGCTGATTCCTCGAAATGCCTTTTATCGTTGCAATTTCTCTTTGAATTAACTAATAAAAATAATTATTAGAGCGATAACGTTTATTATAACTTATTAGTGTAGTAGTATACCCTTCTATGACCACGTTTAATATTCATCACTGTCATATCTTCTTCTGTAATTTCTAATAACTTTATAAATATATATATATATGCATATATATATGTATGTATGTATGTATATATGTATGTATGTATATATGTATGTATGTATAAACATATTAAGAAATAATTTAACTGCTTTCTATACTTTACAACTTACTGAAATAATTGAATCAAATCCTTCAAATAAAAATGTATTTAAATATTGATCAAGATTTAAATAGTGTAAAAATTCATCTACACTTTGATATTTACATCGAAGTTGCATATATTCCGGTGGTAGTGTGTTATTATCAGTTTGCATCTTTAACTCTAATCTTTTCTTAATGGCAATTTTAAATCAAAAATAAAATAAAATAAAATAAAATAAAGAAAAAGAGAGAGATAAAGTTAACATTGTAGGTATTTATATAAATTATTGCTAGCTATTTTCCAAAAATGGTTTATATGAGATCATATTTTTAAAAAAAAAAAAAAAAAAAAAAAAAAAAAAAAAAGTTCTATTTGATAGTCCCAGCACCACCTACCTTTCTTTTATTTATTTATTTCTTTACTTACTTACTTAAAAAAGAAAGAATCCTCTTTTAGTAAGCTTATTGAAAGTATTATTATAATCATAGAGTTGATCGTATTATACTTGATCATCTTTTTTTTTTTTTTTTTTTTTTTGCTATTTTATATGAATTACTATCCTTGATAAATAAATATTCTTTTTTTTTTTTTTTTTTTTTTTTTGTACATATTGTCATTCTTCTAAACTTAGGAACATTGCTGGTATTCAATCTATCCTTTTGTAAATCGAAAATTTAGCCTTTATCGATCGATTTTCAGCATTGATGGGCAATTATAATTTTCAAATATAGAGAAAAATGCACAAAAAACTTCTAGATCTATGATGGAAGATTCTTTTGTTGACTAGATTTTATTTCTTCTTCTGTTACCCCTTTTTTCCTTATTTGTCAGTTTACTGAATTATCATCATGTACAAAAAAAGAAAGAAAAAAAATTTTTTTTTTTTTTTGATCTCATTTATTATTCCTAATATGATACAATACACAATTTATATATGCTTATTTATACTTTTTTTGGGACTTCTTCTTCCCCTTTTGTGAATTTTCTTTGTTTTCACCATTAATGTATTTTAAGAGTTGGTCAATGGGAAGTTCACCTTTAGGTTTTTCTGGAATTTTTACTTGTTTCCTTATAACTTCCGGTGTAGTAGTAGAAATTGTCTTGTTAGTATTTACTTGTTGTTCTTCACGAGCACGTTGAGCCATGATAACAGCATTTGTAGTTAATTCTTTAAGCCATACATCACTATCTTTCGTACGAGGATCTTCTGGGCCAAGCTAATAGAATATGATATATAAATGAATGTATTCAAATACACACTTATATATGACTATCTTACCTTTTTCTCAAATATATCATATGCTATTCTTTCTGCTGCTAACGCTTTTGGAAAGTTTCCTTCCAGTGTATATGCCTTTGCAAGAACATGGTATCCAGTAGCAGTAAGAACATGATCTTTACCTAAAATATTCTCATGTGTATTACAGGCTCTTTCAAAGAATTTGGTACTATTAGGATAATCACGAAGTGATTGAAGCATAACACCAGTATTATTCTATCCAAATAAATAGATAAATAAATAAATATTGGTTTGTATAATCAAAACAATGACTTACATCAGCGGTGGCTGAATCAGGATGACCAGGGCCTACAAGAAGATCCCAATAGTATAATGCATGATGAACATAACGAAGTGCAAGCTTCGTACGACCAGCTGCATGTTCAAATAAGCCAAGATTTAACTATCATAATTATAAATAAACAATAATATGTACTTATTACTTTTTTTTTTTTTGTACTTACATAATGATGAATGGTTTCAGGATGATCAATACCACATGTTCTTTCAGCAGAAATAACAGCCTTGCGTTGAAGATCAAGAGCAGATTCACGATCTTCGTTATGATGATAAAGCATAGCTAAAGTAGCATAGCATTTACTTGTTTCGGGATGTAAGAAACCATATGTTTGCTCATGTAAAGCCAAGGATTCAAGTAAGAGTTCCAGACCCAGTTGTTGATGGCCTTGTGCAATACTCATTTTACCTGCTTCAAATGTTTCTTCAGCAAAGACACTTCGAGATGAAGCTTGCTTCACAGTAGGCATCAAATTATAAATATCTTCTGGAATAAAAGTCGTTGTACGTCTTTTAGGGCGTTGATTGATTTCTTGAAGTTGTCTCTGGTGCTTCTTTGATTTCTTGTTACGACTATTTATTTGTTCTTGTTTTTTACGATTGAAGGCTGCATCTTCAGCAGCAAACGCGGTTCGTTCTTCTTCACTATAAGGTTCAGTACGATAATCACGAGCACTAATTTGAATACCAACGCGAATACAAAGTTCACGAAGTGTAGGTAAGAAACGAAGTTGTTCAAACGCAGTCTCTTCTAGCTTATAGCGGAAACGAAGCAACACTTGTTGAATGACAAGCTTCTTTAATCCTACAGGTGTGATTTGAGCCCATTCAAAGTCATTTCGGTTTGTACCTTCAGGTAATACAGGACTAGGTTTCAAATTAAATGAGGATCCAAGTAAACAATTCAAGAAATGGGAAATGCAAAGACTAGTTTCTTCTGGAGAACACTTTGAGAGGTATTTGCGAAGAAGACGCTTAGAGACACGAACGATCATTTCTTGGATAATTAACTTATGAATATAATCAATACGCTTGTCTTTGTTGACAGAAACGAGTTCAGCAAGTTTACCAAGATAACGCATATTAATACCACGACGATGCATTGTCTTTGTAAGTGCGTCACCATCTAGGGGTGTAACTGCATATGAAGCAAAATCAAGAACAAGGCTTGGTACAATTTCGTTAATTAAGAACTGAGAAGCTTCACGAATAATTTCTTCCTCTTTCTTTGTTTGTTCATTTTCAGGTTGCTTGGCGCTGGTGAAAACATCAGGATTAAAGGTAAGATTAAATTCATTAACGTCAATCTTGATCTCTTCTTCTTCCTCTTTTTCTTTTGCTTTTTCTTTTTCTGTTTCATTTTCAGTACCAGAATCTTCATTTTCTTTTGAGAGTCAGCAGATGTGATACTAGATTTAGCTGCTTCTTTTTCATTTTTAATTTCATCCGTCTTTGCTTTTACCCATTGTCTAAACTTGTGCTCCCAAAACAAGCTCATCAACTCTGGTCTTAATAAAGTCATCTTGTGAGGATAGGCAGGCTTACTATCCTTTTCAATACATTCATTTTCTTGAAAGATGATATCAACAGGACATAATCTGTAAAGATCCAACATATAGCGACGACCATCTGCACCAAGCAGTCCTTTAGTTTCTTGAGAGGTATAGAGTTGAGATTCATCCCCTTTTCCATCTATGACGGTATGTTCTGATAAATGAAGTGATTTAGCTATATCTTTGCCAATACACTCATGGAAAATAGGATCAGCAGAAATCTGATCACCGTTATCGATAGAGCCATAGATAATGGAATTTTCATCTTGTCGACGGAAGATACCTGGAACGATACTCTGAGCAACGATACGAATACCTTTATAGTCCACAATTGCATTTGCCAATGTATACAAGCCATCGGCATCAATACTATTTAATATCTTGACACCCTCCAAATCCTTACTTACAGCTACATGAGCAGCTTCATCTCCACCCAATGTTTCAAAAGTGCTTCGACTATCATTGCCTTTACTGAAAAAGATATTATTATAAACATACATATGTGATTCTTCTGGTTCAAGTGGGTTTAAAGGAATCACAGAGCCATCTACAACAGCCATAGCACCGCGAATAGCAGCTTCTGTAAACTCAGCTTGAACTTTTGTAATTAAACGTTCACGTAAAACTCTTTCCTGCAAAACAGTCTTGGGCAATTCACGATGCGATTGAATCTCATCATTCCAGTCACGAAGACTTTCAACAGCGTCAGATCCAGCAATCAAATAAGTCTCGCAGGGTCTTGAAGCATCATAGAGGTGCTGAGGTGCCTCAACAGCCCAAGGATAATTAGGACAGTAGGTGTTAACAGGAAGTACTTCAAGCATATGATGGTGGGTGATGAAGTCTTGTAATTCGACAAATCTAGTAGCAAATAAAGGAGAAATTTTCTGTAATAATGTGATTAGTGAATGAGCAAAAGCACGTTTAGTTTGTCTAGGAGAGGGATCAAAATTAAAATGGGTAGAGTTGTTGACAAAGAAACCTTTAGTAGAAGCTGTAATATGAACGACTTCACCTTCTAATGTTGTAATAGTCAAATAAAGAAGATCTCCTTTTAATTTTTGTTGATGAGGAACAGGATTCCATCCTGAAAGAGCTAAGCTTTTAATACATTCAGGGGCAACTCTTTTGAAATCGGAAGGAACTATTTTTGAAAGCTGTGAACGCTCTTCGATGTTTAAATCTGTAAAAACGTGCTTGGGGACAGGTTCGTCGGAAAATAAATCATCCATCTTCTTATCAGCATCATTTATAATCTCCTCATCTAGAAAATAATATTTGCATTATTGTTACTCATTATTGCTGGTTTTTTTTTTATTGTCCACTCCGTTTCTAAATATATATTTACCAATTTCTCCAGTGATAGCTGTCAAGAATGAAATAGCAGGGTCAATACCAATACTAGAAGGATCAGGTTTATAAGGGCCAGCCAATAAATCACGAAGACGATTAATATGAAGTCTAACATCACGTTCAGTATATGTGTCTATAATTAAAAAAAAAAAAAAAAAAAAAAAAAAAAAAAAATCAATATAACACTCTTATATAATAATCATATTCAAACAAACCTTCAATCAAATCAAGTTCACTCTCTGATGTTAAACCTTCAATTTCACCAAGCTCTAAATAATCATTAATTCTCTTTCCTTCAAAAGCCAAATAGAAACATGAATTGGCGCAAGTTTCAGGGGATTCCATGATGGATTGTTTTATATCTTGAATTGCTTCACGAGGACTTGCCTATTTAAAAAAAAAAAAAAAAAATACAGGTTAGAAAAAAAAATCATCTCTTGTATTTCTATTTCGATATATTTGACTTACAATGATTTTAATACTTTTTCCATCTGGTAACTTTACGTTTAACTGGTAAGGTTCTTCGACAACTAATATATGTTATTATCATTATTGTTTCTATTTGTTTATTTTAACTGAAATCATTAAAGTAGTAATTACCTTCTTCAGGAGTTTGTTTCTCGACATTATCTGTCAATTGTTGTTCCTTTTCTTGTTTGTCGGTCATTTACTAATGGAGAAGAGTTATTATAAAAATATTTGACATACGCGTGTATTACTAAAATAGATAGCTTACTTTTAGAGAAATATGTGTATATCTAAGTAAATATAAAAATGTATATGCCTATATATATATATATGTGTGTGTGTATCTATACTCTATATAAATTAATGTAGGCAATAAAAGAAATAAGTAAGTCTTAAAAAAAAAAGAAGAGAAAAAAAAAAGTTTATAAACTAGGGGTGGTAACTTGCTCAAAGAAAAAGAAATAAAATAGCTGTGATCTGGGTTTAGAAAAAATGCTATTTATTTTTACAAATGCTGGAAAAAAATAAATAATAATAATATTAAAAAAAAAAAGACGATAAATAAGGTCTTTCATTCCCAAACAAAGTTATTTAACAAGAGGCTTTGAATATACACAAAATTCAATTAGAGAGCATTTTCATTTTTAACTTGACTTTTTTGTATCCAAAAGATGAAGTTTAACCTTCATTTTTCTTTTTTCTTAAAAATGAAAGAAAAGTATTACAAGGCTATCCCCAGTTTACGCTCAAATTTTTGGCATAAAAAAAAAAGAGGGGCATTCGCTCTTTGAACCCTGGTAAAATGGTATAGCTCAGTTATTTTATTTTATTTTTTTATGTTAAAGGATAGAAGTTCTTATGAATTATAGCAAATCTATTACAATGCTGCTTCTTCTTTGTAGTACTATCCCTTCATTTATTATTATGTTAAGCTTTTGTTTATCAAAAATATAATTATTAAATGAATTGACATAAAATGGCATTTATCTTATTTGACTAGATCAATAAATAATAGAAAATAGTACATAAATTACATCTTTATCTTGCTGTCAGATTAAATATGAAGCATGTTTAATTCTTATAAAGTTTGAAACTATAAATCGTTTTAAATGGATTTAAAAAAAAAAAAAAAAAAAAAAAAAATAGTGAAATTAGAAATGTGTTACATGTTTATCAGATTCTCAATATGATTTTCAATTTCCTTATTTCTGTTTAGAATGATGTAATGTTTTTTTTTTCTTACATCACATGTAAGGATGATAGGTAATATACAGCAGATTTTGCTAGGAACAAACATATTCCTACATAATACTATACTTTTAAACGTCTCTGTTTGTAACAAAGGATACATTATAAATGACTCATAGATTGTCTTTCCTTTTAATTTTAGTTATGACCTATACTAAACTATCATTAGCAGAAGTAATAAATAATCAAGATTATATTCTTATCAGTAGGCTTAGATTTATTTGTTTTCATTATAGTAAATGATATTAACCTTTTGAGAAATTCCATATTTAAGTAAATGATAAGCACAAGATTAGACCCTAAGACATTATATTTATTTAAATATATATATATATTTTTTTTCTCTTTGCTGCCTTGTCAAAATCAAACCTATTTTATTCTTCAAGGGAAGTAAATCACTTTTTCCAACAATAATAAACAAAGATATAAACATACTATTTAAATGTATGTAATATGTAAAGTTTAAAGAGGAGGAAGGCTGTTATGCTCCTATTTCTATAAGCAGATTTCGTATAATATGCAAAAATGAGCTTTCAGATATGTCAATATAAACTTGAGCACTGACAATTAAAGGGATTTGAAACATATGATTATGCAATAGGAAACACCTTTTATAGTATTATAGTTTGATATTGCTCCTGATTATATGTTAAAAGTATTATCAGCTGACTGAAATAACATGAGGCATTTTATTGAAATACATGATGCAAAATAAATTATGAAAGAACATCTCTAATTTATGCCAGAAAATATAACTTGTAAAATACTATGTTACAGAATAGAGCAGAAGGTGTAAATAGAGAACATGTTTATATTCTCTATTATTTTTAAACATAAATACAAATAACGACCAATACACAGATTACGATAAACATCGTCAAAAAAAAAATAAAATAAAATAAAATAAAATAAAATAAAGAAAGTATATCCGAGATTTCTGTACCTGACAGGAAAAAAAAAAAAAAAAAAAGCTGAAACAATTAAAGTTCAGTAAATCATGGGATAATAAAGACGATACATATATATAGAGACATTTGAGACCATTTGTTTTCAAAATGTATCATTTACTTAAGAATACGTATTTAAAATTGGCTTTATAAAACAATATCATTTGTTCTTGTCATGCTTATTTATATCATTCTGTATATAATAAATGATATTGTTTAGTAATCGAAATCATCTTTACCATTATCTTTTAAGTCTTACCTGCAGGATAATAATAATAATAAGGATGTCGTCCAAATAAAAATTATTCCCAATTCGTGTGATTGAAAAAAAAAATGCCCTTTTAATTTAGCCAAACCAAGGAAAAATGGTTTTATAAACAAAAAATATTTTTTTTTTTTTTTGGTACAAAATACATATATGTAATCGCGTTAGCATCTCTTTCTTTTTATGGAGGGGGGGAGAGGAGGGAACATACTTGAATAAAAATGGCTGAGGGGCTACAAAAAAATTATAAATATTTCTTCTTTTCTTTTCTCTTTATAATATATTTCCTCTTATTTAATATAAATGCAATCTACTGATAATCTTAACAATAGAAGTGATCGTATCTTATTAACTTCTAGTAATAGTAGTTCTAGCAGTAGTATGTCCTCATCTGGAAAACCAATGTCAATATCTTCTATTATCGCTACTCCCCCTCCTTTATTCTCATCATCTCATAAATTATATCACAAGGAAGTATTAGAACGTAGAGCTTCTGCTCCAATTCATCCTTATAATTATTCACTAAGAAATCAAAATCCTTTGTTTCGTTCGCCACCTACTACGCCTGAAACTAAATTGTGGGAGTTGTCTAGACCAACGTCTCCATCATCTTCTATATCCTCATCATCACCCAAGAGATCTTCTTATTTGCATCAACATCAAGACTATTTCTTGCAAAAATATCAATCAGAGATACATCATGCTCATTTAATAATGAATAGAGATGATGAAGATGAAGTGATGGAAAGTCAAGAGGGTGAGCATCCTCCTTTAACACTACAGGAGCGTCGATTAAGGAACAAAGCAGCTTCAGCTAAATACCGTCAAAAGAAGAATCAACAACAAAATGAAATGAGATTAATGATCAATAGATTATCTGAACAAAATGCTGTTTTAGAACGTCAATTACAAGAAGTACGTCTTGAAAATGAAAGATTAAAGGCAACTACAGATAGGCTTAGAGGGAAAATAGTAGCGAAAAAAATGTTTAAAAAATGGATTGGAAGACGGTCAGTAGTAGATAATAACACATCATATACTTCACCTAATAATGATAATGATAATGATAATCAGCAGCAACTAAGTTACCCTACTATTGTGTCTAACACTACTCATGCAAAGCATCATCACTGCACATATCTTAACCTATCTTCGACAAATTGCATAAAAAATCATAATAGTCATGAATACAGTTCATCATCTATGAGCAGTGATAGTGATAATGATGGCCATATTAGTGCAATTATCGCTACTCTTTCTAGCGACCAAGATGAAAATGACGAGTTAGAAAGTTTAAGTTAAAGCTGCCTCATTTAGCATGTTTATATAATTTTTTCTTTTTTTTTTTTTCATTCTTTATTTTTCTCTTTTTCCTTATATTATATTGACTAGTTGTAACTTCAAAATATATCATTTCGTTATTGATAATATACATACAATAACATGTATAGTTTAGTATCTTATTTTAATATATGCATTAAAAAAAAAAAAAAAAATACTTTTTCAAGTGCTATAAAAGTTTATTGAACAGCTATAATATGTGTACAAACTTGTACATATAATATAAATAAAAAAAATAATCCAAAATTAAGTTAAAGAGGAAAGTCCCATTTCTATGCCTACTATCTGCAAACATTCTTTGATTAAACTAACAACTATATCATCTTTACATGTAGTCATATTACACAACGAGGGATATAAATAAAAGAGATGAGCTCTTGGTCCAGATAAAAGTGTTTGTTTCACAACATCTACTAGAAAGAGAGAGAGTCAGATGTGTCTATAAATGTTTATGTATTCTGTATTGTACTTACTTCCACTATTGTTTTCATTGTATGCTAGAATGTTATCTCGTAATTTTAATTGAATTAATTGTTTGAGAACAAAAAGTATCTCTTCTTTACGAACTCTATAATAAAGTAAAAGAAAATTAAATAAAAAAGTCATATTCAAAAAAAAAAAAAAAAAAAAAAAAAAAAAAAAAAAGCGATGACTCTCATTATTAGCTCCTTCACTAAAATAAGAATAAAAAAAAACTAAAGCTCTCACCCCATCAAGTACCTTGGAAACGGACATCTTCCTAATAAAGGCTCATCAGCAGTATAGTTTCGAAGAATAGTTTTACATCGTTCAAGCAACACTGGAATAGCAGCTTCAGCAATTCTTTTACGAACATGAATGTTATCTAAAGGGAAAAAAACCGTATTAATTAATTTAAATATTTGTTATTATTTGTTTCATGTTTCATACCTTGTTTTTCAGCAGAGCATAATGTAAATAGCGTCATAAAAGATGCATATGCAAAAGACTCTTTCATGACAGGCACGATTGTACCCGTTGTACCCACAATATCACTTGATCTGTCATTTACGAAATTAGATCTCTTTATATCGCCTTCTTCTATGTTGGTATCTGTTACTACTGAAGTATCTTCAATATAATATAATCGAGATCCTTCGTGAATAATATGCACTAACTTTTTAATGACTTCGATTGGTACTCGAGGTTGTCCAAGGTGAACTACAACAATACTTTCGATTGATTTTAATATTGAAATATCGAAATGTTCATCTGCATCAAGCTCTTCGATATTCATGCTTTCGGGAGGCGAGCTAGGTGATAAAAGACTTCCTTCTAAAATATCCATAAGTGTATGCCATACCCCACAAAATCTTTCTACAGGCACCTCTAACATTTGTATATTATTATGTAAGCCCAAAAATAAATATAAATAGTTTTCTATTTATACCTTCTTCAAAACTTTCTAGCTTTTCTAAACCTATCTTTAAAATATCCAAAAATCCAGTTGTAGCTATTTTCCATAAAGGCGTTTTATCATCACCATGTTTATATGAAGGAGGACAATCATATTTTAATTTCATGGGTAATCCAAAAGCGCCAATGATATGTTCGAATATGCCTTCTGTATAAAGAGACAATGCATTAGCATGAGCTTTAAATAGATTGACCACTAAAGAGCTACATTTTTTATTAAGCGCGATATAAGTGACCGTAGAGAATTTGCGTTGACTTGGTGGAATATAGCCACGACTTTTGCTTTGTCCATCTTCGGGTGGACTTAAGAATGCAAGTGTCATATACTCTGCCAAATCAGCTAACACTAAAGGAGGCACACCATCCATACTCATATCTAATTTTTGGACTACATCCAAGACAGCTTCCTGTAAGGGAGAAACATGATCAATATCAGGACGGTATTGAGGGCTTGTGGAATAGACAAGAACGTTTCGTAATACACTTAAAAGTGAGACAACATTTTCCAATGTAAAAGTAGAAGAAATCAATTTGTAAAGATCGGTAAACATATTAACATAAGATGTTAGCATATCCTGGGTGAAATCATTTGATACGGGTGCTATAGCCGAAGTAGATAAAGAAAGGGTGAATGATTGGAGTTCAGTTTCATTATCATTATTAAAAGATGTTAAAAAATCCTTTTTTTCGGGAGTAGTAGATAATAAATCACCATTCATGGACTGACAGATCTTAAGCCCAATAGCTTCCCAGGTATTCCAAGCACGATGCCACAAGCTCATTAATTTCGAGGTTTCTTTAAAATTGGATGGAAGAGTAATAATTGTTTTAAAGCTTTTGATACTTGCAAAAGATACTTCTTGGCTAGACCGAATACAAGAGTCTTCTAAATGCGCTAGTAATAAAGTGAAAGCCTGTTGAAAATGTTCCAATTGACATAAATCATTTAAGAAATCATGAAAAATGCTAGAAATCCCTGTTAAAATTAACACCTTCGTTTCATCCCATTGTTTTTCTGCTGTATCTCGTGAGTGATGAAGCATAAATCCAGAAGAGTCACGATCTCCATTTGCAGTAGGTGAGGATGTCTTACTTGAGGATAGTTTTGATGCACGAATCGATGACATTTTTATAGAATCTAATAAAGGAAACAAAACTTCCCAAATGCACGTATTCCAAAGATATTGGCCTAAAATATGCCCATTCATTGTAATTGTTCTAAATAAAGTTTGATTGGCTCCATTTCGTACTTCAGGACGCCAGTCAACGCAAGTGTATGATAACTGAAGCAGCAAAAGTATCCAAAGAATACTATAGGTTTTTGGATTATTTACGTCTTCATTTTGAAGAGGCACATCAATATTCATATTCTTTTTTTCGATTTTTTCATCTTTTAATGGTGAATCCTGTTGACTGGAAAGATCCATACGACGAGTTTGAATAAAGTCTGATAAATTCCATAATAAACCAACAGCTGTCAAGCTGATATTTAGATCATCGCTCTGCATACCAAATGAACCTAAAGTCGCAATACACTGTCGTAAACAATCAGGTGAGAGCAATGATAAAAAGTCTGTACAAATTAATTGAAGACTAGAAAAGGCTATCTTAATAAGTCCTGTAGCTGATTTAGGACCTGCTGTTGCCATAATGGATCCCGCCATAATAGAAGAAGCCGTCGTATCAACGCTCGATCTTTCATGTTTTGTCTCTGGACTAGCTATTGTAGATACCGCTTCTACGTCAGCTTCATCATCACTATGGTTATTGTAATTAGCGTCAGGTGGAGGACCAATAGCGCATACAGCAACATGGCGTAATATATCAAGAATATGACTCCATCCACAAGTAAAAGAATGGCCTGATGTTTGTAATAGATTATTTAAAGTCTCTAATCCCATCTTTTGTACTTCACTAAATGTCTTTGGATTATTGTTTAAGGCTTCTTGAATCAATATCTCCTCATTAGCTGGAGGAGTGTAGTTGATACATTGACTTAAAGCTAATAAAAGACGTGTCTGAGTAGTTTCATTTACTTCTTTGTATTCTGAAAGAACAAAATTCATAGCAGTAGTAATGATATTAGCAATTACTTCACAACATTGGGTACGAACTGATACAGGGGTTAAAGAGTAATTAACTGTAGTAATTAAATGTGACATAATCAATTCCCATATTTTTGAGGATGATTCTTTCTCAGTATTAATAAGTCTTTCCATATTCAATATTGCGACATATTCCAATTTGTCTATAGCAAATGATCTAACGTTGAAAATCTTCTATAATTAAGTAAAAATATCAGATATAAACTAGTAATATTTTAAATAATGTAGATTATAACTTACTGTTCGAGTTTTGTTGGTATACAGCGATTCACTACTAGCATTAAAGGGGGCACCGCTTATTTCAGAACTCATAAGACATAAAGCTGAAGAGAACGCCACAAATGAATCGGCATCTAAATATTTACTATTTTCAAAGAGCCTTTGAAAGGAAGCATTTATAATAGTAAGCTGATCATTATCTATTGTCTGATTGTTGGATTGAGCTTTTATGAAGGAAAAAATATTATTATTTGATCATACTACATATCGCATATAATATTGACTTACTATTTTGGTTTATCTGGTTAATGCTAATAGATGAATTAGATGATGAAGTAACTGTTCGTCTCATATTATTTGATGAAGCAGGATTACTAATATTAGAACCTCCAATCGAAGATCCTTTAGGTGTAGGTCGATTGAACAAAAAAAAATCTGCTAACTGTAGTGTTTCTAAAATAAGATACCATGATGATCCAAGCGTGTTACTCAAAAACATGGTAATATTTAATAAAATACGTAGGCTATATAAATTTTTTTCATTTAACGTAATATTCGCCAATGCTTGTTGCTGCTGAATAGGTAAATCCAAAAATGATATAGCAGCTGCGTTTAGAGTAGTGTTTGCTGATGATAATGAGATAATACTTGTTGAACTTGGATTACTATTTACTTTGTTTGGTACTGTAGACGTAGTAGAAACAATGCCTGTTGATAGAAGAGGTATGATAGGAATTGAACTTTTACACAAGTTAGTCAAGAATGCATCACGGGGTGTAACAAGATTTAATACACCACAAACATTGGTAAAATTTTGATAAGATTTCATAGTACATTGAAAAAGCTCTTCTTCAAGATTAGCAGTCAAGTAGAATGACATTGCAGCTAATAAACCAGGCCAAGCAGCATTTGCCATTTCAGTAACTAATGCTAAATCCTTTTCATTATCTTCATTATTTTTTAATTCATCTTCTAGTGTTGAATTTATTGAGTGAGACGAGAATTTTGGTAACACATATCCTGCTAAGCCGTCAGCAATAGAGTTAAGACAAATTAAGGCAAGATAAAATATATAAGTCTCAGGTATTGAAGGGGGTCATATTTATCTAACTGATCAATACTGTATAATATAATGTTAAAATGAAAATAAATAAAAATAAAATAAAATTGTTAGCTGCATTTAATAAAGTAATTACATAGATTGCTAATTTACTAACCATTGAATACGCATAGTAGACGTAACTATACTTAAACTATCAGAATTAGATGATATATTTTGATTGGAATATGAATTATAAACATTTGAAGCACTAGATCCATGATCTATGCTATCTCTACTACTTTGATTTGCGCCAATAGTTTGAGGCCTTTCAGTTGCCAAACGACCAAAACTAGTAATCATATCACGAAAAACTTTTGTTGAACTGTTTTGACTATCATACCATTTATATATAGAGCATATCAAATGTATATCACTACAGATTCCTTTGAATATTTCCATTGCCAATACTCGAAGCCAAAGTGGGTTCTCTGGTTCTAATATTTTGATAAAAATTGATAAAAATATTTCACATTCCATCACGAGAATTCCATTAAATTGTTTGATAAGGATGGATACAACTCTTGCAAGACGCATAGTTTGTGAAAATTCATTTTTTTCCGAAAAGTTTTTAATAAACATTGGACAAACAAGTTCCTTTAAAATTGCTCTTAATTCTTTGTGCTAAATTAAAATATATTAATTTTTTGAAACAAAATGCACTTTATATCATTTACTTGCCTCTTGAAACAACTTATAATGGTTGGTTAAGACACCTTCAATTAACTCGAGGCCAAGTGTTTTGGAAAGACTATTTAAACGAAGATACTGTGGTTGATCACCATTTGTAAGCAAACATAAATCTTGAAATAAATAATAAGCGTCTTTTGCACAAGGATATAATTTAATTTTTTCTCCACTACTGATTTCTATTTCTTGATTTGCATTCGACTGCTCTAAGTTTTGTTCATCCTCTTTAACAACTTTATCAAATACAAATATAACAAGCTGTCGTAAAGTTGCAGCTGCTGTATTATTTACTACAACGGTTTTAGAATCTTGTAAGCGAAAACATATTAATAAAGCCTTATTTGTAAATTAAGCATTAGGGACTAGGTACAAAAAAAAAAAAAAGAGAGGTAATAATATTGACTATTTAAAATACCTCCGCCAAAATATCATCATGTACACTTCTATAATTATTCAATAAAGGTAAAACGGTTTGTAATATTTTTAGCTGAATTTCAACACCATGAACACTAATATCCGTCAAAGTGCGTAATACTGTTCGAATAGATGTCTAGGATGAATACTTTAAGCTCATCTGTATACAATAGTTCAAACTTTTTTTTAAAAAAAAAAAAAGAAAAAAACAATTAAGGAGTTGCTTACCTCTGGAATGGCATGAAAAGAAATTAGTTTTTGTATACATCCGATGGCAATTGTTATTAATTTGATCTGTTTTGTTTCGCAGGCAAGCGCAAAAGGGCGTAAAGCATCTTCTGTCTTAGCCAATTCTATTGTTTAATTTAAATGTTAACACATTAAAAAAAAGGTGAAATTATATTATTATTATTATTTTTCTTTTTTATTTTACCATTAGCTATACTATATCCAGGTCTTTCTTTGAAACTTCTTAATATAACACTTAAACGCTCTGCAGCCTATTTAAATAAAAAGTTCAAATATTAAATATAATCATTACTCAATTACGGTATACCTCTTTAATTTCTGGATGTTTTCTTCTCGCTTCACTCGAGAGTGTTAAAAGCTCAGTTTGCAAAAAAGCTGTAAGGCCGCTCATAATCTCGATATTGTACAGGCCTTTTATGCTTTATTTAATGTTATAGTAAATTTAATAATGGTAGATTCTATCTTTTTAAATTGTTTTTTTAATGGTAACTTCTTGTAAATATAATAAATAAGCAATCAAATAAGATCGCTGTTTAATTTAGAAATCTTCCGTGTTTTAGTTGAAAAGCAAAAATGAAAGTGAGTAAATTAATTTATTTGCATTTGTTCATCAAGAATTGTTATTTAGCTGGGTTTGAAACTAAAAAAGTACTTGGCACAGCTGAAGTTTTCCAACATGAGATGGATGCTGTTTCCAAAATAAATTAGACGGCTCAAGGCTTACTTTAGAAATTATCAATTTTTATTTGAACGAAACGGAGAATGATTTTTTTAGGCATTTCCAGTTTGTGGAAGAAACTACTATACACTGTGTATATATATTATACATTAGAAATGACCTGCAACAAAAAATCAGCCATTTATCAGGCACACTGAATGCTTTTATTTAAGTCTAAATTTCACTTGCGTAAGGTCAATCACACTGAAGTTTTTAACAATTATTATTTAGTTGGGAGAAGCAAAAGGGATCTAAGGGGTATGTATAGTAAAATACAAAAGCATTCTTATCACAAGTCTATCAGTAGCCCCTTTGAAATAATATGGCCATTATCCTCAAACTTCTCCTACTGATATTAATAAATATATTTTATTATTTTATATAATAGTATTTATTCTACAAAAGTCTAAAATATGCTTCATGCTTCTTTAAAAAATCAATAACTCAGTATTGGATGTACCACAGGATCGAAAAAAAAAGGCTTTTAATATAGTAATATTTCCATTGCACCTGTAGCAGTCTTCAGAATTAGTTTTATAGAAGAAAAAAATTATACAGATACTGTATGAGAATTGTCAAGATGTTCAATTATTTTCTGATTGCTAATGGATGTTCATATATCATTTAAAAAAATTTATTATGCCATCTAAAGAGGCAGTATTATAGTTAATGCAAAAATATAGAAGAGAGTATGTACTATTATTTGGTGATGTGTTTATAAAGTGAATACTAATAATTATATGTTACTCACAAAGTTTAATGTTGTGTGTATAATAAATGTATCATTAAAGATAAAAATGTCATCAGTTGTGATGACTGCAATGAAACAAAACATAAAAAAAAGCTATCTATGTAAATTTTATAAAGGTATGTATAACGTACTAATAAAATACTCGAATACAATATAATAACATTCAAAAAAATGAATAAAATGTAAACTTTATCTGCTAGAGAAAGTCCCTTACCTGTATAAGCGTATGTTAAAATAAAGAATATATCAAACCTATACATAAAATGTAATGTTCATTCAATCCAACACGCAAAATAGCATTTCTATACAATAAATTTAATGATAAAAAATAAAAGTACAAACTTAAAAACTTGTAGAAAAGAACTACATCATGAATAGTGATGATAGCTCACAGAAATCTAACTCTCTAATAATAATATTCAACAATAATAATATCGATGTCATGAGTCGACTTATAATGGTATATTTCTTAATTATAAATACACAAATCATAAAATTATTCAAACGAATTTTATTCAACTTTTCCTGAAACCATCATGATTTACTTCATCAAATAATATCAAAGCATATAACGCTTCATTGTATATAACGTATTTTATTCAGTTGTAACTAACACTTTTCTGGTTCATATCTCATCTCAAACGTTTTTTTTTAAAAAATTCTTATAACTACTTATCAATTTAAATTCATAAATAAACTAATTACATTTAGACCTATTGTTGAGTCTCGTTAACATCTTTTGCTTTTTGTTATAAATATTTTCAATTAAGAAAATAACTCAATTCTCAAAAAAAAAAAAGAAAGAAAAGAAATTCTAAGCGAAGACGTCATAGAAACTAAGCATTTTTATTGGTGCTGGGTTTAAATTTATTAACAATTACTGTTATAATTACTTTTTTGTCCTCCAAAAATGTATAAGCTTCTATGGCGCAATTGGCTAGCGCGTCTGACTGTTAATCAGGAGGTTGGTGGTTCGAGCCCACCTAGGAGCGTTTAATTTTTTTAATTTTCGTAGTAATTTTGTACTTTTTTTTGGTATCATCATAAAAGTGTTGAAGAAGAACTGGAGAAAATTTCCTCATGTATTCTATAATCTCTTGTATTTATAATAATTACAATACAGTAACTCAAACGGTTGTAATCGATCAAAAGGGCTGATATTACGATTAAAGAGAAAATGATAAATGTCATTAACGAACTGTATGAAAATATATTATAACTGATTCCTGATAGCGCCTAATGAAAAGCTTTATGTAACAGATACATTGAATTGTGGCAAAATAATATGTATTAGAAGATTTAATTAAACAAAAAGAAGCATAATAAAAATTAGAATCTTAAGCATGTTATCTGAATAATAGACTAAAGTTTGTTTGAAAGTATTAAAAGAGCTACATCCCTTTAGAGTAAAATGTTCTGTATGAAGCTACAAATATATAGAAAATAAAAATGAAGCAAGCATATAATTTATTAAGTAGCGTCAAAAAACTGGCATAATAAGGTTTATATATAATCTAAGAATATAGATATAGGAACATACAGATGAGTATTAACAAACATAATTTCATTTGTAAGTTATTTAAGGTATAGTTATCCACTATTGTATCCTTATCTTTACTGATAAAGATTCAATAAATAAATAAATAAATAAATAAAGAATATAGAAGACTGACTGTTTTAATATAGTTAGAAAACAATTAAAACCTATTTTATTATTAAATCGAATAATATTTATATATTTTTAAATATCATTATTGAATGTGTCCTTTACTGAGCTATTATAGAAGTAATTAAGAATCTAAATCAAAGCGTAGTTCTTAATACATAACATCTATTCAATATATTAGATGCATGTATAAACTATTTTTACCTTTATTGATTAAAGATACTTAAATACTGCCTAATTCAGTTAAATGTTACTCTTGTATGTCTTGATCTGAAAATACTTATAAAACTATTGATAATGAGTCTAAATACTATTATAAATATATATTTAGGTAGTATATATAGACATAGAGGCTAGATCACATAAATATATTTATAGTATACCCTTTTGTAACTAAATTTACTACAATAATTGGAGTACACAATGTCTAAATATTTACAGTTGTAATATAGAAATATACAATTAAAGATTATTAACTTTCAGCATTTCAAGAAAGATGTATTTTTTAGACCGTCTATTACTGATTCTGGCTCCATACATATATTTAATGTTATAAGCCTTGGTAGTAATTAGCCTCTGTATTAAGAAGCTTATGAATAATATATTATGTTTAAATCTCTTTCAAGGTAATATAAGTGCATAAAAATATAACAATTCAAGTTTATTTAACCTTCAAAGTTTACTATCTCAACTCTAAGAAAAAAAAGTTAGCATTTAAAGCTCATAATATTGAGATGGTTTGATTAGAAACAATAACTGTTCCGAGACTATAATTTTATGGCTGACAGATTTATTGAATTATAGTTTCTCTAGCTCTGGTGACATCTGTAAACATTCAAAAATGTGAAAACTAGTTGATTACGCCCTTTATAATCTCTATTAGGAAAAAAGAAGGCAAACATAAAAGATTAACAACGATAAATATATATGATCACTATATATTATGGCATATACTAATGTATATTAATGAATATATTGATGCTTCTTTACCAGATTAGTGCTAAATAGATTTTGTAAGGCTTAATTAACAAAGAAGCGTAAGCTTTGATGAAAACCTTAAACATTGAATACCTATAGCTATATTCTTTGGTATTAACATACTTGAGAAAAATGTCATTCATTTCAAAGGTATAAACCCGGTATTATTAGAGATGACTTTTAGAGGACTCAAGATTAGCAGAATATATGACCAACTTCAATTGCCGTTTATTAATGAGTTTATATTTTTTTAAAGCCTATCTTCAATAAGTAATCACCAATACAGAATACATATATATATATATATATATATTTAAATAATCAAAGGTTCCAGAAAGCGCAGGTTTTAATCTATAATATATATAACTCACTAATTAAGAATTATAATTATTTATCAAGCAAAAGCATAGTGTGACATTATTTGTCTACTAATTTTCAGAGAACAAATAGTGTCTTCAGTATTGCTACTAATATTGATAGCATTATTTATAATTACCTCTGCTACAAACTCAACTTATCCCTTCTAAGAAATTAAAAAAGTTTATGAATAAGATGTCTTTCTGTTTGAATATCATTTCTATTCTACCTGAAATGTAATCTAGTATGTTTAACTTAAAGCTGCACTAAACTATAACAACTATTGATTTACATTACTGAGTACTAAAAAATTTTGGTTTCAGAAAAAAAATCCACATATATACGTGTATATGTTAATAGTTTTGAACGTAGCTTTTTCCCTTAATTAACACGCAATGAAGCTTGTTCAAAGCTTTCAGGATATTTTCAAACAAGTTAAATATGATACAATTGCATGCGATATTTACGGTGTACTTCATGATGGCATCAGAGCATATCCTTATTCTAAAGAAGCACTAACAGAACTTAGGCAACATGACGATCATGTCATTTTACTTTCAAATTCGACACGACTACAAGACAAACTTGATTCTGCCATGTCAAAAAATTTGAAATTACTAATAATTTATACGACGAGATTCTTTCAAGTGGTGTACTTACAAAACTTTTTTTGAAAGATATAGCTGAGTATTTAGAGACGGGTCAAGTTAAAAATGCAGCATGTCATGCTACCGCTAGATGTCTCGGTAAAAGTACACGTATAAATCCAGATGAGTTTGCGGCAACTTACCTAAAGACGGGCAAGTTCTTTTTAGCGGGAGATCCCGATTGGCAAGAGCCTCTTTACTTGCCGGTGTCACCTACATTATCAAGGACACATAACTGGGACGAAATTGAGTTTGTCTTGTTAGGATCAATTCGTGGTGTGTTTCCCGAAGAAAAACCAGTTGATCCATTTAGTGAAAAAGATGTACGAGCCGATTATCAACCTTTGTTGGAAAAGTGTTTGGAAAAGAACATTCCCATGATCTGTGCCAATCCAGATGTCTTTGCTCCTAATGGGATCAATGAAGATGGAACCATCAAGTTATTAATTTGTCCGGGATATATAGGACAGATGTATGAAGAGATGGGTGGTGAAGTTTTGTATTTTGGAAAACCATACAAGAGTATTTATGAATATTTGATAGAAAATAAAGCCAAATCTTCTATCAAAGAAGGTGATAGCAAAGTCTCAAGCAAGATTATTTGTGTAGGTGATAATGTGGCCACAGATATAAAGGGCGCTACAGAAGCTGGACTAGATGTCGTTATGATTCTTGGTGGCGTGCATTGGGAAGAGTTAAAAGAAGCTAAAAGTGAAGATGAATTGAAAGAGTGTGTGAGAAAGCTATGTAGTTTGCATGGAAGTAAAGAACCAACGTATCTCATGCCTTTACTTGGATATTAGTAGTTTTTAGTTTATTTTAATGTTATTACCTGTATATATGATTTATTTTATTATTGTAACCTAAAAGGATAAAAGAAGCAGTTTAATCAATTATTGTTTTTTCTTTTATATAATATTGGTTCCTTTAATTAATACAAATATCTCAAGCCCGTATAAGATTTTTTCTATTGTTCCTTTTTTTTTTTTTTTTTTTTTGTCACGCAAAATTCTGATTTTTGTTTTCTACATCAGCAAAAAATTGAAGTGCAATTGTTTTTTATTTTTTTATTTATTTTTTTTATTTTGTTTTATTTTATTTTACTTTTTTTTTTTTTTACACACATTAGTGTATAATTTTTTTAATGTCATGAATGTATCTTCAACATCAACAAGGACTACAGATGTTATCCAAGTTCCCGAATATTTTTATGCAATCGATATTAATTATTTAACTCACATGATTGGTAAGATTTTGAAATGTATTAACTTACATTGACTTAGTTCGTTGATTAACATTGCAAATAGCTGATATGTTAGGCAGACTCATATCACATAATGACCTTATACCGTTAACCCCTAGTAACCTAACACGTTTCCATTCTCGAACACCGCCTAATATATCTCTCAGCGATTATTTACGACGAATAGTAAAATATACTTCAGTAGAAAAATCCTGTTTATTAATTTTGTTAATATATATTGATCGTGTATGCGAACTTCATCCACAATTTACTGTATCATCGTTAACAGCACATCGCTTTCTTATAACTGCTGTAACAGTATCATCTAAAGCATTATGCGATTCATATTGTACAAACTCACACTATGCCAAGGTAGGAGGTATATCGACACAAGAAATAAATGCGCTTGAATTAGAATTTCTATCCTTAATTGATTGGCACCTTTCTTCAACAGGTCCAATATTACAGCAATATTATGTAAACCTTGTGGAACAGCATCCTTGCTATGAACGTATTATATCTAATGAGACTAAAGAGTTATTAGAAACAATGACATATAAAAAGCGTCGAAGGAGCAGTACTCCTACAGAAGAACAAATAAGCGAAAAAATAATTTAGACACTGATATTATAAAATTAGAAGAAGAGAAGACAAAAAGACATTTTGATACATTGTTAGAAGATGACACCATACCCTATATCGCATAGCTATTTATTAATACCATTTTATGTAGTCACCTTTAATTTTATTGAATCAAAACTATACATTTACGTATACTCCCTTTTACTTAATGAAAGGAATAATAAAGAAAATGAAAACAATTTACGCTGGCGTTTAAATAGCAATAATCATCATTATCCTTATTATAAAGAGTACACATGTAAGGAGAATAGCTACTTGAAAAGTTTTTAGTTTTATCGATAATAATATAAAAACTACAGATAGTTATACTGAATAGTCTAAATAGAGAATCTGTAGAATTGACAGATAACGTCAACTATCGAAAGCATGTATCCCTTACTCTTTATTTTAAATAAGCTATGCTCCTATACTAACATTTATTTCTTGATTTGTCTAATGGTTAATTATTTGTAATTTATATAAATGTACACATATTTGCTAATTTGATTACTTATTTCATCTCGAAAGGCTGCTATTACTGCTGTAATAACTAGCTTGGCAAAAATAATGCTTGTTCTCGAGCTAATAATATAATCAATACACTCTTTTCATCTTCTTTGATCCTGAAGTAACTTCAGTTTCTCCCCCTCCCCCCCCCACCGATTCCATTTTTTGAACCGACCCGGACAATTTTAGCATTGTGCCCGATAGAGTTTTCGAAATTAATAAAATACTCTTTTAACGTAAGCGTATGCTGATGACGCTTCTTCGGTATGTTAATATAGTAATGCGAAATTCTGTGCCGCCATATACCCAGTTTTTTTTTTTCTTTTACTTTTCTTTTCTTTTTTTTTAAAAAAAAAATGAGCTGGAGTAGTAGTTTTACACAAACATATGTAGATCCTCAATACTTAATAGAAGCTGAACAGCAAGTGGATGCTTTTATGGGGATGTTTAATAGGTATAATTTGTTTTATTATATTGATTTTTTTTTTCTTAAAAGTGAGATTAAATAGGATCATGGCAGCATGTCAGGATAAATGCATCCCTAATAACTATCATGAACCTGATTTAAATAAAGGAGAACAAAAATGTATAGATCGCTGCGTTGCAAAATATATGTCAATACAAACTATGATAGGTGAACGAATGAAAGATATGGTGCCTATAACACAACAAAACAACAGATTTCCAACCAATGATACACCCTCTCTTTAGAAATAACATGATATTATAGACAGTGAAGATATACACATAAATATATATATATATATATATATATTTATATAAAAGTAGATATATACATTTTATTATTTTTTGGAAGAATTTATATTTTTGAACATATGCTGGGGTAGAGGATTATTAGGACCATGCAGATTATTTGCGATATTACCATTAAACAAAAAAGATTGATAGGAAAATAAATCACGTAGTTTACCATAGTAGTAGAATACACAAAGTGTCCAATATCCCTAAAAAAAAGAAAAATCGTTAATATCTCCTGAATTGTTTTAATTGATGTCTATATTACATAACAGATGGTCATCACCATGAAAACAGCAATAGAAAATTTTATTTCATTTTCCCATAATTTTTGACAATTATAAACATTTAGAGACGGAAGCAAATCGTCGATTTGATATATTGTACCATTGATGGCCTTCCCTTCAATCTTCTCATCAATCTTCTGTTGAGACATTGATAGACACCAATCAATATATGAAGATTTCTGAACACAAAATATGAATATATTCACCAGGATATCAATTAAATATATGATTACAATTAGAAATAATAGAATAAAGCCTGACTGGAGTTTAGCTGGTGAATTCTATAAATAGTTGATTTATGAACAATAACTTTAGGAAGCAATTTTTTTTTTAAAAAACAACAACATATACATATACATATATACTTTAAATAGTCCATATATAATATAGGCTGCTATAAGACTAAATACTATTGAAATAATTCCAAGTGTAATAAGTGCTGGTCTATGTAAAAACGAAAATATAGCTAATATAATAAATTTATATTTTTTAGCTTTTGAAGAATTATATGTATTTATAAATATTACGAGTATATCCAAGAAATGATAATGTAGCAATGTAAGTATTTACACCCTTTATAGATTTTACTATTAGTGGCTCGTATGTTTTATTTTAATTTATTCTTACTAGCCATATCAAAGATGCAAAAGCACAGCCACCCCTTAATGACATACAAGCACAAAACTTTCTATGCCAACTACTAGGCTCCAAATATCTTCTTTCTTGTATTGGTGCATGAAATAACGGCATATATTGCAATTATGTTGTTTTTAAAAAATGAAAATAAGAGAAAAAGAAGTGATTTTTATAAAAGAGAAATAATAAGATTATTTGATGTATTGAAAAGAAAAACATTGCTTTTTTTGGAAAAAATATTTTCTGTTCCTTTTTTTTAAAAAAAGCAAATAATAAAATCTGTATTCAACACTATAATTTATGAATTTAATGTAAATTACAAACATAGGAAAAGATGATTTAATAAGTGAATAGAAATAGTTCTTTTTTTTTATGTAATTCGTTTAATTTGTTTTTATTTTTAATATATGCTGTTTAGAAAAATGTAGAATTTTATCTTAATAAGTTGGTTTGTATCTTAACATTCGTTGTATTCTTAATTATCTACTTATATCTTAATACCTCTGTAAAAGTAAGCTATATAATTTATTATCGTACTCCTCATTTTTCCTTTTTAGAATATATATCACATCTTTTAGTTCATTTATGTGTGAGACTATAAATAATAACATTTGTATATGTTAAGATTAGTATGTAGTCGCCCATAAACTTATTGGAATAAGCATCATCCTTTGATTTATGCGGTAAATTTCATACATATATTTTTCCTTTTCTTCTTTCGTTCTAAATACCGATACATGACTTGTTTTATCAATACTATAATAATTTTAATTTCGAATTACACATTATCTTATTATACCAGCTTTCAACGTATCTGCGATGGCATACAATATAACTTGAACTCATTAATAAAGCCTAAAATTGAAAACAATACGATATAAAAATATCCGTCATCTAGCTATTCATATCATATAGTATATCAGATATTATTATGCTGGCAACTCAAATAAATATCCGACATCCATTCAGTATTTTACTCTAATCATTCTCCTCACTCCTTCATCGACTAGCATGTAATACATTATTTTTTTCTATAAATGTAAATTCAAAAAACAACCTCTAGTTTCTTTAAACCTTTTTCCTTATAATAAATCAATATAATATATATATATATTCTGGTATTCCTTGGCAAATACTATAGTCTAATATTTGTATTCTCTTATATTAACTCCATTATTACTTTTATCATCACAAGTTGGCTTACTGAACTATATTCAATTTTGAACAAAGAGCTTGTAGTTGTTCAACTTCTTTATTCTCACAACTAGTGAATTTATTTATTCTGAGCCCTTATACACCTACTCTTCATTTATATTAGAATTGATTTCAATTAAAAAAATAAATGAGAAAATAAAAAAGAAATGATGATGTCATCAAAGTCACGTGACTTTGAAACAAAATTTATACTCTTATAACATCTAGCGTCTTCCAAAACGTGTCAAGGGGCTATGGCCCAATGGATAAGGCGTCTGACTACGAATCAGGAGATTCCAGGTTCGACCCCTGGTAGCCTCGACACGATTTCTTTTTTTGTTTTTCTTTACATACATCTTTACCAAAACATTGTCGCACTAAAAAAACCTAAGATGTTGCATAAGTTGAATGTCATCTTCTTTTTTTCTCGAATTTACTTCAACAATAAGCTATAAATTTATTTTGGAAGATGAAAACGGAAAAGTTGTAGATGAGGAGGATCCGTATAAACTAGATGAATTATCATCTTATATTGCTTACATGACAGCAGTAAGAAATATGCTTGCTACGGAAGAAAAAGATCAAGACGTTCAGCCAGAAGCAAGTAACAATAAAGAAGAAAAAACAAATCGTAAGAAGGGAGACTCATTTCTGAAGGGAAACCGAACAAGCAACGAAGTTAAGGCACATGCTGTTCACTTGGTAGATGTCCACCTGAAACAGAGCGCGAGAGCTGTTGCCATACAGCTTAAATTGGAGCCAAGAACAGTCCAAAGATGGTACAAAAGTTAGAAAGCTGATCCTGACTCATTATTCAAAACTGTCGGTCGTCCGAGAATCATCGAGCCAAAAGGTGAACTAACAGAGGCAATAAAGAACGTTGTTACTGAGTGTTATGATTGTAGTTGTCTTTATAACTAAGTTAATAAAAATAAACCATTATTTATTACATAATAAAGAGGTTATTCATATGCAACTAGTATATTGGACTTCACAGCATAATATTCATTCTACACTTAGTCTCAATAATAGTCATTGTTAGAATGTTTGAGCAATAATAATAGTTATATACATAATTCAAACAGGATTATGACTGGTGTATTCAATTACATAATTAGCTCTGAGTCATACATACATATCATATATACATCGATAATGTTGAATATTGTTATGGAGTAAAATCTTATATAATGATAATGATAGTAGCTCATAAATAATTAGTATTGTTGCAGCTAGGCATATTCACTGAGAATTAATATTAATGTGTCGCACTCCAATGACAATGATTTGTTATATTTCTAGGAACAGCGGCAACTTAGGGAGAAAAAAAAAGAATAAAGAAATATCTTATTGATCGCAGAATTATTCAGAGACAATGTTTTATGTAAAACACTTTATTATAGTAAAACTTGCTTATCTGAATCATATTTCCATTGATAACACTTACCTTGTATAAAAATATAAATAGCCCTCGATATTTTCAAGATAATTTTTAGCTGTACAATTTTTGTATTATCTTTAATATACTATACAAAATTTTCACAGACTTGTCTTCTGTTCGTTTTTCTTTCTTTATCTTTTTGATAATCAAAATACTGAGGTTAATCTAGCATATTAGCCTAAGGTTGATCTACATAACAAATTAGCCTGAGGTTAATCTAGCATATTAGCCTGAGGTTAATCTAGCATATTAACCTGAGATTGATCTACATAACAAATTAACCTGAGATTGATCTACATAACAAATTAACCTAAGGTTGATCTACATAACAAATTAGCCTAAGGTTAATCTAGCATATTAACCTGAGGTTAATCTAGCATATTAGCCTGAGGTTAATCTAGCATATTAACCTGAGGTTAATCTAGCATATTAACCTGAGATTGATCTACATAACAAATTAGCCTAAGGTTGATCTACATAACAAATTAGCCTAAGGTTGATCTACATAACAAATTAGCCTAAGGTTAATCTAGCATATTAGCCTGAGGTTAATCTAGCATATTAACCTGAGATTGATCTACATAACAAATTAGCCTAAGGTTGATCTACATAACAAATTAGCCTGAGGTTAATCTAGCATATTAACCTGAGGTTAATCTAGCATATTAACCTGAGATTGATCTACATAACAAATTAGCCTGAGGTTAATCTAGCATATTAACCTGAGGTTAATCTAGCATATTAACCTGAGATTGATCTACATAACAAATTAGCCTAAGGTTGATCTACATAACAAATTAGCCTGAGGTTAATCTAGCATATTAACCTGAGGTTAATCTAGCATATTAACCTGAGATTGATCTACATAACAAATTAGCCTAAGGTTGATCTAGCATATTAGCCTGAGGTTAATCTAGCATATTAACCTGAGATTGATCTACATAACAAATTAGCCTGAGGTTGATCTACATAACAAATTAGCCTGAGGTTAATCTAGCATATTAGCCTGAGGTTAATTCGATATATTAGTTTGAAGCTTATAATCTATTGTCGCTCAATCATCACTTATTATTTTCAAGATGATCATCATCAGATTTTCAAGTTATAGACAATAAAAAATTGGTGTACCTTATTGTGTGCGAGAACTTTTTTTTTTTTTTTTTTTTTTAAAAAAAAAAGGGGCGGAGATACGCGCACTATCGAAAATTATGATGGCTATAAAAAAAAAAATTGAAGCTGCCTCTTGCATTCCCACCATAATATTTGAACAATAATCTGGAAAGTGTGTTGTGACATTCTCCATTGGTATGGAAACTAAAATTATTTCTCTGAAGCTTTGCTGTTACAAATGCAAATCGAATCCATTTACCTCTGCACAAATGCTACGTCTCCATCTTTTGAAACAGCATGAAATCTATTTACCTCCAAGAGCATCTGGTAAACGACACATAAATACCAGTACCACTATTTATGTTAAATTGAATAAACGTGATGCTCAGAATTCATCAAATATCATTAGTCAATATGCTTGTCCATCGTGCTTGGACCATTTTGGAGATTTAACGGAATTGGAACAGCATGTCTGCAAAAAACACCAAGACACAAGCAAAAGGAAAAAATCTGATACAGAAAGTGCGACACAAGATGAAACGTTGAGGACTGACAAGCAACAGAAAAAACAAAAGGTGCAGATACCTACAAAGAAATCTATTTATTGCTTTTCGAGCGCACAAGATTCGATTTTCGATCTTGATTTACCAAAACTTTCAGCAGATACGATCAAAACGCTAACAATGGTAAAAATCATTTCAAACTATAACCTCCAGATGACACCAGATATGAAGGCTATATATACACAACAGCTTGAAGACCAGTCTTGCTTCAAGTCCCTTAATACAAACTTTCCTAACGTTTATGCATTCGTTTTGAATACTCTAAAAATCAACCTATACCAAGAATGGCCACAGTATATTTGGTCTTACAAACATACCATAAAAGACGAACTTGAACATAATTTCTTCAAAGCAGCTCAGTATATTTTAACAAGTTATAGCGATAAATGTAACAGATCAATACAACTGAGAACACCTAGTGAAAGAACGTTCTGGGTTGACCAAATTGCTTCAATATTTCAAACGTTAGGTGATCAAACAGGTCTCATTGGATTTGAATGGTGTGAAACCTTATCGCAAAACTGCGTTGATGATAGTATCAATGTTGATTTATGGATAAAAACGTCCAGAAGATTTCTGGATGGTTTAGGCTTTGATAAATGTCATAATGAAATTCTATCAATGGAGGCATCTAGCGGATTAGAGAAAGAAGATATGGAGCATACAATGGAAGATACGCTTAAAAATTTAAATTCAACCATAGCTTTCATCAACGGGATTGGTCGAAAACATCTTGATGCAAGCTTTTCGACGTTTAAAAAGTTACAAGTATTTAGTGTTCAATCGATCAAACAGACAATAACATTATCATCAACCAGCATTGATATTACAAAAGTGGGCTATTGTCACATTGAGCACCGTAAAGCTGAAATTCCGGTCTCGTTCGACGAAAAATACAAATGGCTCCGTGTAATGGAACTGCTTGCAACATTGACGATGTTAATAAGTGAACAAACAAAAGTTATGAATATACTAAAGCAAGAACAAAATGGAGAAATCTATGTTGAACTAAGAGATACGGTGCGTTCTAATTTGTCGCTTTAGAGCATTTTTCATATTTTTCTTAAATTATTCATATAATTGTTTACATTATCGACAATAAAAGCCTTATTTATATACGAGTAAAATCGGCCTATAATTGAAAGCATTATTCATCATGCGCCATGAGGTTTGTCAGTATGTTATATCATTTATACTGAAAGTTTTATACTTAACTTATTTTTTGAGTAAGAATGTATTGCTTCTATAAACGTCTGCTGGTAAGCTACTATAAGCAAGACGGGCATTTGATACAGCTTGTGTGAACACAGTATTACTGCTTTCTATTGGGAAACGGTAATATTATTACTTCTTTTTTCTTTTTTTTTTTTTTTTTTTTTTTTTTTTTTTTTTTTTTTGAATGAGAGAACAATAACACGTTGAGGGAAAAATTTGGATAATGGTATAATCGTATCATATTTCAAAGAGAGGATTTTTTCCTAGTATTCTGTTACATAATTTGATATTTTTCTGGATCAGGTAACAGCAAGTTTAAAGCACTTTAATAACGGCATTTATTTTAATATAAGTGGACAATCATTTGGTTATTATATCTAACAGTTCTAAATCTAACAAAAAGGGAAAAAAAAAAGTTAATTAGCATAAATGCAAATTATTTTAGTGTCTCAGGTTAGACTGATTAAGGGTTCCTATTACTGATACTGTATTTCTTCTTTTAAGAGTATTGACACTCGCTGAATAGTCATCTACAGTAACGTTGTCAAGGATGTTACGATAAACTTCGGCCTGATCGCTTGGAAGAGTTTCAACGTACTCATCTGGTACAATAATCTGACGTTCTTCGAGAGCTCAAATCTCTTCATCAAGCTGTTGATGCTGCTTGTCAATCTGTCGAAGCTATTCAAACTGGTAAACGACGCTGATCGTCAAGCGATTGACACTGTTCTTGTAACTCTCTTTCATGACTTCACAAAAGAGACATTTTATGTTCACATTTTGTTTTCATATCTCTTACTGAATAACCTCAACCTAATCTGTTATGTCGTCGAATTAACCTTCACCTAATTTGTTAGATTAACATCAGGCTAATCTGTAAGATTGAAAATGTAATCACTTGTCAAAAAGTTGAATGATGACCAAAAAAACTTTGAATGCACTAAGAAAATTTTGATTGACAGGAAGAAAGTTTGATTTCCATTTTTGAAAATCTTAAATTTTAAACAAAAATCACTGCAACTTAGCATGGACAAATATTCTTGGCCAAAATGACAAAAAGAAATGAGTTTGTGACATTTATTTTTACCTTTCGGTCAATCTTTTTTATTATACGGATTAATACTTTCAGTTTTTTTTTAACACTAAAATTAACTACTAAACGATATACTTTTTTTTTTTTTCATTATCTTTTCTACTAACTTAAAGTTTCATATCAATAAGCCAGATATTGGCTTATTTAATTAAATTCATTTTTTATGCTTATTCAGTATCACTGTCCTTCTATAACTACTATCTCTCATTCTTATATTCATTTATTACGTAATACCATTCTATTGTATTTCAAGGTTATTGCCGTTTTATGTAATATAGTTTCAAATGCAGCAGTTATTGACCATACAGATTAACTGTTTAGTAGTTTTCCCCGCTTTTTTTATTTTATTATTTTATTTTATTTTATTTTTTTTTTAAAAAACATCAAAATAAATAAACAAAACTATAAAGTCACAATACACCCCTTATTATTGTATAATATAATAATAACAATTATTATATTACTTTATTTATTAACATCATGAAAAAGGATAATGTCATTGTGGCTCCACCTACACCACAAGTAACATTACCACCCATTGAAACAAATACGCCATTATCAACGCCAATTGAAAAGGAACTTCAACCTACGGTTTCCTCACCTATACTCACCGGAAAAGAACAAGCTCTTACCCCTACCTATACTTATCGAGCAGGATTATCAACTAAGCCGCGATTGCTTTTAATGACATCTATTGGATCATTTTGGGGATTTAGCATTGGCGCTTTCTTAGGTGGACGGCAATCAGGATTACAATACTTGGCAGAAAACGCACATAAATTACCAACAACTGTACAAGGATGGTATTTTTATCATAAAACAAAAAACTATCGAATGATGCTAGGTGGTATTAAACGAGGAATTCAGTATACAGGTAAAACAGGTGGATTATGCTTATTATACGGATCCTTAGAGGCAGCTATGGATAATATACGAGGTGAGGCAGATATTTTGAATTCTATTACTGCCGGTGTGACAACGGGAACTCTATTTTCATTATTCAGTAAGTGATTGTGCATGCATGATTTTACTTTTTTTCTAAATTTGTTTAAACTGACTCTTTGTTATGTAGCGAAATTAACACGAGGCTCTTTTAAATATTCAATTGCTTTTGGAACATTATTTGGATTAGTAGAAGGTGGCCTTTCCGACCTATATCGTTATGCATCAGGAGATACACCTTCCTACAATTCATGGTTGTCATCATCATTAAAAGAAAGAATTAGAGAATAAAAAACTATAAATTATGACAAATAGTAATAGACAATGGCTATACCTTATTCTTTGTATTTTAACACTCAAACAAACAAACAAAAAAAAAAAAAAAAAAAAAAAAAACTGCTTATAGTCAGCTCTATTATAGAAAGGGAATAGATGCATGTTATATAATTTACTTGAGCAATAGTATGAATTTGTCAAAGATGATGAAATACTACTGCTAAGATCCATGAATTTACCTGTCACATATTATGAACATGCAGGCGAATTACCTAAATTAGATTTCTTTTTTCAAGTGTTTCAGCATAAATAATACTTTATTTTTTTTTTTTTTTTGCGGTTTATTCTTTTTCTTTTTCTTTCTATTAAAATGACACAAGAAAAACGAAAATCAGTTATTCCATCCACTGAAGAGTTTTCTCATCTTTTTCCACCAGCAACAGATAGCTCTATAGGTGCCACACCTATTGTTCATTCTAATGCGACCTTAACTTCAACAGCAGAGTCAGCTTTGCAGCAACAAATACCATCAAGAAAGCTTTCTTCTTCTTCTTTTTCTTCTTCTTCTTCTTTTAATGCTGGAGTTGATTATGTCATTGTTTTTCGTTTCCCAACTGATACTACGACTAAGCTTAATAAAGGAAAGAATAACTTACCAACTACACGAGCAGAGCTACAAGTTCAGGTTACAGAGTCATTGAAGGATATTACTAGACGACTAACAAGAGTAAATCTTCGTTTCCAAGTACGTCCCGGTAAAGAAAAAGGAACTCTTTTAATTTTTGTTAGTGCTCCTACAGGTCCTATCAAGAAAGAATATAGACAAGAAAGGTAATACATTAAATAGAGTATAAAAAAAAAAAAAAAAAAATTAAATTACCTAATAATTTGTTCATTTAAAAAAAAAAAAAAAAATAGAGTGCGTGATTTCCTATTGGGTGTTCGAGTAGATGATATTGAAAAGGAGCCAGACATTTTAGATAAAACATTTAAAGATTTGACGGAAGCTGAACGACTTCGTTTAGTTCATGAGATATTAACTCAATCTGAATCAGAAGGTGGTGCAGGTATTTCGCCTATAGTTGATAAGTACGTTGAAAGTATCATGCCTTTACATAATGATGAATATAATAATGTAAGTCATTGTTACTTTATATATTTATTTATATGGAATAGTATTAATATGGACGTATTATAATAGTTATGGTTAAAGTCCTGGTCTACAAAATGGCTTATTAATGATGCTGATTTATTAAAAATTCGTAATCATTTTGGTGAAAAAATTGCATATTATTTTGCTTTCCTTCAAAATTATTTCTTATGGCTTAGTGTACCAGCTGTAGTTGGTGTCTTGGTGTATTTTACTCATTCAAATACACTTTCAGTATGGTTCTCGATTTTCATGTTAACTTGGTCTATCGTTTTTCTCGAGATGTGGAAGCGACGTGAATCTGAGCTAGCTATTCAATGGGAGGTTCGAAATTACTCAAAACATGAAAAGCGAAGAACTGAGTATAAGGGAGAAAAAATAGTCAAGGATCATGTAACTGGTGAGGACACACCTTATATATCAGCATGGACATTGTTAGGAAGACGCGTAGCTTCCATACCAGGTGTAGCTATTGGTGCATTCTTACTAAGTATCATAGTTGGATTTGTATTTATTCTTCAATTGTTTTTACATGAATATTATAACGGTCCTTTCCGTCAGTTTTTGGTAAAAAAAAAAAAAAAAAAAAAAAAAAAAAAAAGCATAGATAATTTATGGATAGCTTAACCTCATTTTATATTCAACTCAAACTTATAGCATTATGCACCTACTGTAGGTTATGTACTTTTTATTCCTACTATGACTAAAATTTATAGCAAATGGGTAAAAGTATTGACTGACTGGGAAATGCATAGAACAGATACTTCTTGGGAATATAGCTATACACAAAAGATTTTTATTGCAAACTTCTTAGTTGGTTATCTTTCATTGGTATTTATCAATATTATATGTGCATGGATAGTATGATTAAATATGTATATATATATCTTTCTCTTAGTTTATTACCGCCTGGATTTATATTCCATTTGGAGATTATGTTTTACCTTATCTTGTAGAGTTTAGTATTAGCCATGATCATCAGACTGTAGATTTTCAACGATTAAGAGCACAGCTTGTCTATTTTATTGTGACAGGACAATTAATAGGGTTTTTGACAGAAATGGTTGTTCCTTATGCTTTAAAAAAAGTGATGCCTAAAGTTGAGGAGTTTAAGGACAGAATAATTCATAATCCAAAAACAAATAATAAGAATGTATCTTCCACTCAACGAAAAGATATTGCTATTAATACACCATTCACCAATGAAGAAAGCAAGTTTATGGATAAAGTCTACAAAGAAGTAGAAATGGAAGAATACAACATTTATACTGACTATGTGGAAATGGTGATTCAGGTAAAATAGAAGCATATAAAATATACTTGTTTTCACCTAACATAAAGACTATTGTATAGTTTGGCTATGTAAGTATGTTTTCTACTGTTTGGCCTTTAACTGCATTATGCTCAATCATCAATAACTGGGTTGAACTTCGTGGCGATGCAATTAAAATTTGCAAATACACTAGGTAATAAGAGATATTTTTTATTCATGTATGCATATATTTGTATATAAATATATATATATATATATATATTTTAAAAAAAAATTGCATATATTAGGCGTCCTATTCCTCATCGAGTTGAAAGTATTGGTCCTTGGTTAAGAAATATGGAAACCTTAGTTTGGTTATCCTCTATTACAATGGGATCATTTGCATACCTTTTCCATCCTTCTACTAATATTCATTCAACGTATACACCTGTTTTTACATTATTAGCCATTTTATTATCTGAACATTTATTTATTGCATTTCGTTTTGGCATACATCAAGCATTTAAACTTATTCCAAGTTGGGCTGAATGGCTTGTTCGTAAAGAAGAGTACAAACTCAAGAAAGTTTGGTTGGAACGTATGATAGGTAATCATCAGCATTTTATTCAACGTAGTAGTGTTGAGTTAGATGACAATTCTGATCTGTCAAATCCATTGAATTCTAAAATATGGGGTCAGCATTTAAACCCTCAAGCTGAAACAATGGAGGCTATTCAACTTGTCCAAAATACATTTAAAACAAAATAATTATACGTATACATTTATTCCCTTAATTACTATGGTTAATAATAAATTTGCACTTTTTTTTTTTTTTTTTTTTTTTTTTTTTTTTTTTTTTTGGTTGGTTTAATATTAATATTCCTTCTTTTTCTCATCATAACTTAAATGTCCTGGGCCAATGGAGATTAATAATAAAAGTCCACCCATAATACTAAGACATTGAAAAAAGTTATACTTGACTACATCTCGATTATAATCTGATTGATAGATAGCCCACCAATTATTCACAAATACATTCATAATACAGAGGAATGTTACTAGAAGAGAAGCAGACCATTTGGCTCTAAAACCGACTGCAACCATGACACAGGCAGCAAATCCAATTAAAGACACTAAAGCTCGCAAAAGATTCCATTCCCCCTGAAAGACAAAGCCTAAAAACAATAAAACCAAAAGGATACGTCCTGCTAGTTGAAAATAAGGATGCCGTCCGGTATCAGAGGCCATAGTAGGTAGAGATGCAAATAGTGATTTTTGATTAGATTGCTTTTTGCTACGTAATAGCGATTCTGAAAGACATAATAAAAGGCCACCAATAATTGATAAATTGCGTAAAAAGAATACCTAAATTTAGAATGTAAAGATATATACATATCCATATAAATATGTATATATATTTTATAACGAAATATTCTCCTACCCAAGATAACTTACCATATCAAACATAAGTCCATAACCTAAGGCTTGAAACACAATAACACTGATAAGTACAGAAACAGATAAATTGATATGACGCTTAGCAATTAAAGTAGAGGAGAAAGTCGACATAGAAATAATATTGAACAGCAAGAAAAGATGGGATATAACTGGAGGAAAGTTTCGATGATATTCCAAGTATTGTCTTTGATCCGTCCATTGGACTATCATACGAATAGCATCTTCATAAAATGTTACAACAACCAAGAATCGACTTAAAGCAGGTAAATAAGGCTTTATTGGCTGTCCTAATATATCCAATACATCTTCTATTTGAGAGCTTACTTGTTTAATTGTTTGTTCAAAGCTCATTCTATTTATTCAATGAGATAGAAGAATAAAAAAAAAAGAAAAGAAAAAAAAAGACAACATGAATATTTTTATTTTTGCTATTTAAGGAGTAAATGAAAGATCATCGCCACACACACACACACGCACACACACACACATTTCTCCTGTTTTATTAGGTGCATAAAGATAATTTTTATTTCTTTATGTTAGAATGGAAGATTTAATTTATCAAAATAATGCCTATAATTACGTATAAAAAGTTGTTATGGAAAAAGAATGCATTAGATGCAAAAAGCAAACAATACAAATAAGTGACTTAAACAACTAAAAAAAAAAAGAAAAAAGAAAAGGAAACCTCCCATATTCATCACGGCTAAGGCTTGTATTATGCAGTAATTGTATTTTGACGATTACTTTTTCTTTCCTATTATTTTGCTTCAAAGGAGAGAATTACTATCATATCTTATTTACATTCTCAGTTGTACTATTTTTATCTGTACTGACTTCAAGTAAAGCTAAACAAACTTTGTAAAACAAAAACAAAAACAAAAAAAAACAAACTTCTAAATACAGAGCTCTCTTCGAAATCGCGTATTCTCCTCTTCCAGTAAAATATAAAGTAACTATTTCTTATCATATATCTGAGCATAATAGGTTTCTCCTTATATCATATATTTATATTTATGTGTGTGTGTGTTAAAGTGATAGTAGCAGATTTATATATGGACTTTTATAAAATTCGTTGTCATACCATGTATTAAACTATAACATGAACGAACAAGCCTCAAAATGCTTGATAGCAAAAGTGTCTGATCTATACAGTAAATTTCTTATGACTATGATAAAAGCCTATTTTACATATTTCCTGAAACAGGTCTACAATTGCTAAAAAAAATAAAATAAGATTTAAAGAGTATAGTGACGAAATACAGAACTATACACTCAATTTACACCTAGAGCTGTAATAATAATAATAATAATAATAATAATAAAAAAAGGGGAGGGAATACAATATATTAATACTCAAAGTCTTTCTACGTTATCTAAAGGCATTGTATTATATATAAAAGAAGAAATGATAATGCCAGCAATGTTAACCTTAGATTGGAATCATTCAATAATGCATTTGCCTTTGAAAAATTTTAGGGGTTTTTTTTTTCCAAGTAATAAATTTATACAAGGTAGAAGAATATAACTAGAATAATTTATCCAGCATAAAAGACTTAAGGGCAAATAAAACTCTATTTACTAATATTATATAAGCGGACAATTTTAAAATTAATTTCTTGGTTGTTAAGAAGAAGAAGCAAGTGGATAAGAAAAAAGTATCAATATATTGATAAGTTAAAGGTTACGAAACGAATTAAAACTAAAGAAGCAGAGGCATATACATCTAACACGGCTAACCAGCAATAGTATATCCCTTATTTATTATATATCTTGCTTCAAAATAATGTTATCTAATTTCTAAGATTATCGGGAAAATAAAGACCAAGTGATGAAATTATTGATAGTTCATCATAATTCAAAAAAAAAAAAAGTACATCAATATTTAGAGGAAAGAAAAAGAAATGAACATGAAGTTTCCAAAGAATAAAAGACTCGGTGAGAAAAGAATACGGATAAGAACATTAAATGATTCTATGACTGAAATGCACAACTTAGTTCTAGCGCTAAAGGGTGAAAATCTATTCATTAACAGATTACTGAATTTTTGTTCGTGTACTCGGTTTCTCTCATTATTTTTTGGTGATGTTATATAGGAGAAAGATCAAGTCAGTGATACCAAATGAGTGTAGTTGCAGTAGATATAAATGAATTTCAAGCATTGATGATAAAGTGCATTTGCACAGTTTCTCATAAAGCAAAAGTAAAAGAAAACATTATGAAAAAGAACTATCTACCGCGAATGTTTATCAGACAGTACAGAAGTTTTGAAATTAACAAATGAGAAGCATTGTTATTATATTAACAATTGTAGAATTTACTGTATAGAATGACAATAGGACGTAAGTACTTACAAGAATATGTGCAATATACTATTTGCCTTTTTTTTTAATAGTTATAAACATTCAGTCCTATTTACCAGTGACCGTCATAATGATCACACTTCTTTCACAGAGGGTATTTTCTACGATAGAAGTTTAGATATTTTCATTGCAGTGAAATCAACATTAAACTGAATCATTATTGTTTTCTTATTAATCACTATTTGATTCCTTATACTTCTACGCGAATAGTTTATCACACTTTCTATAAATTATAGGATAGACTGACACCTCTCTTTATTGAAACACTTTCTGAAATCTTTGCATGCTAAGCGTATACACTTTTTGGTCTATTTTCATTTGGATAACACTACTAATGGCAAAGTGCTGGGAAATTTAGTAGCTAGAATTACAAATTTCCAATGCCAATCATAAAAGAAGACATAGCAATAATCAAATTGATTTTCTATTGGCCAAAAAATTCCAACAATCATTAAAACTGCATTAAAACGCAAGATTTTTTTTTTTTTTTCTTCTTTAACCTTCTTCCCTTTTCCATTTTAAATAACATCATGCTAAGCCTATCTGATTCAACAAAAAAGTCTGCTGACTTATATGCTAAAGCCAATGATGCATTTTTTGACGATGATTATGATGAAGCCTTGAACCTTTTTACAGAATTAGTTAACTTAGAACCAGAAAATGCAGAATTCCTCTTGAAGCGGTAAACTATAGATTAACCCTTCTCTTCTATCCTTCTTCCCTTTTTTTTTTCTTACATACTTTTTATTATATAGTTGTCAAGTTCATCAAAAAATGAATCATTTAGAGTGTGCCCTTCAAGATGCTGAAAAAGCTTTAAAATTATTGAAGCAAGGTTCTCGTAGTTTATTAGCTAGAGCGCATTTACAAACTGGGTAGTTTTGAAATGATATATTATACTAATATATATATATATATACTTATCCACTCAATCATGTTCTCAATATAGTATTACTTTGCATCGTTTGGGTCGCTTTCATGAAGCGCAGAAGCATCTTGAACAGTCCAAAGAATTAAATCCAAATGAAAAAACATTAGTAACTTGGTTGAGAAAAAATACTGAAAAATTGCCAAAAAAAGTTGAAGAAGAAATTAAAACTGAAATTAATACACCAGCACCTGTTGCCTCTGCAAAAGCAGCTGCAAGGTAAAATAGACAAGTTGTAAATTGATTATAACCTTAATTAATCTTTAAAAAATAATACATCTAGACATGAATGGTTTCAAAATGATAATTTTATTACAATCGAAGTGTTTATTAAAAAAGTCAAACCAGAGGATGTTACACTTGACTTTTTTGAAAACTCTGTAAGTTTAATACTATATATTAGAGTTATATCGTTATTTAATACTCATAACATAAAAGCTGTCTTTAACTGTTAAATTGACAAATGGATCCCATTATTCACTTGAACTTGAACCATTAGCACATAAAATTTTACCTAAAGAATCAACTTACCAAATTCTCTCAACAAAGATTGAAATCAAATTAAAGAAAGAAATGCCAGGTATTATGTGGGGTGCATTAGAAAGTGAAGATGATCAAGGCTTCAAAAGTAAGTTATAAAATTGGCATGTACATGTATATATTTATATTATATATATAATATTAATTTTAGAGTTTAAATATAATAGTGAATACTGCCACAGCATCATCTAGTAAAACAAAGGACTGGAATAAATTAACTCGAGAAATTGAAGATGAGAAACCAGAAGGGGAACAAGCCTTAAATGCTTTATTCCAACAAATATATAGAGATGCAGACCCTGATACTAAAAGAGCCATGATGAAAAGTTTCATTGAAAGCAATGGTACTTGTCTTTCAACTAATTGGGCAGAAGTTGGAAGTAAAAAGACTGAAATTAAGCCACCAGAAGGCATGATTGCAAAGAAGGTAAAAAGTATTATATATAATTTTACATATTTCCTTTTTCTAACATGTCCGTTATTCTAGTTTGATGAGTAAGATTTTTGTATGTATATAAATATAGGATAAAAATGAATAAAATCCATTGTCATTCATAAATACCTAAAAAAGGAAACCCAAAGTTAGCGTGTGATTTACACTTTATAAATCATATGCAACTACTCTTTTTCTCTCTTTTTATTTTTATTTTCATGTGTTTTTTGTTTCTTGTTTTAATATAAAAACTTTTTATAAATGACTGCTATACATAAAGTACTTATTGCTAATCGCGGTGAAATTGCTTGTAGAATCATTCGTACTTGTAAACGATTAGGCATTTTAACTGTTGCAGTTTATTCTGACAGGTAATAATATGTATAAGCTCCTCTTTCCCCTTTCTAATCTATGTGTATATGTGTATTGTCTTTTCTTTTCTTTTCTTTTTTTTTTTAAAAAAAAAAAGTGATGAGAATGCTCTATTCGTTAAAATGGCAGATGAAGCCTACTATATCGGCCCTTCAATTGCATCTGAGTCGTACCTGAATGGAAATAAATTAATTGCTATTGCTAAAAGATCAGGAGCAAATGCTTTACATCCAGGCTATGGCTTTCTTTCTGAGAATGCAGATTTTGCAGATCAAGTGATTCAAGCAGGAATTCATTTCATTGGACCTAATCCAGATAATATCCGTACTATTGGTGATAAAATGGCTGCAAAGGCTTTTATTAAACAAAATATTTCTTCTATTCCATTGATCCCAGGATATAATGGAGAAGATCAATCCATTGATCGATTAGAACGAGAAGCTAAAAGAATGGGTAATAATAATAAAATACAAAAGGGAGCTATGCTTATATATTTATTTATTTATTTATGAACTCAAACTCTTTCTTTTTTTTTTTTTTTGAAGAATTTCCTATTCTTTTAAAGGCTTCTGCTGGAGGTGGTGGGAAAGGTATGCGAACTGTTTATGAAACTAGCAAGTAAGACATACTTTATACATAAAGTTGAGTCGGTTTATTTTATACATTATCTTAATTTTAAAAAAGGTTGAAAGAAGAAATTGAGGCAGCTCAAGGTGAATCACTTCGCGCTTTTGGATCTGATAAACTCTTGATTGAAAAGTATTTTGAAAGTGTTCGACATGTAGAGGTATGTTATAATAAAGAAGTAAAATTATTTATATTTTATTTATAGTGCTTTATAAATACATATACAAAATTAAGATTCAAATCTTTGGAGATAAGTATGGTCATGTTTATCACATTAATGAACGTGATTGTTCCATACAAAGAAGATATCAAAAAGTAGTCGAGGTATACTCTGTCTTATTTTATTTTTAAATTAAACTTATATGTTACATTGTGTACATTTTTTAGGAAACACCTTCACCTGCACTTGATGAAAGCCTTCGTAAAGCTATGACAAATGCAGCTATTGAATTAGGCCGTAAACTAGCTTATGTTGGTGCCGGTACAGTTGAATTTATTGTGGTAGAGTCAAAAAAAAAAAAAAAAAAATCATTATTTTCTAGCTGAATTGATTATACGTCTTTTTTTTTTTTTTTAAAAAAAAAAAAAAAAAAAAAAAAAAAAAAAAAAAAAAAAAAAAGAATGAGAAATCAAAAAAATTCTATTTTTTAGAATTGAATACTCGTCTTCAAGTAGAACATCCGATTACAGAAGCCATTTCTGGACTCGATTTAGTTGAATTACAATTCCTTGTTGCTCAGGGCGCTAATTTAAAAGAACTTGGTATTCTGGATAATATACAGTTTCAAGGACACGCTATTGAAGTTAGACTTTGTGCAGAAGATCCTGATCATGACTTTGCTCCACGTACAGGCATCATCCATAAATGGACTCCAGCAACTAGTTTGCAGTCCTTGAAAGGCGTTCGTTTTGATACAGGTATAGAAGATGGTTCGGAAATTTCTATCTTTTATGATTCCATGATAGCTAAAATCATTGTTCATGCACATACACGCCAAGAAGCCATCCGCCGCATGACAATGGTATTAGCTCATACTGTCATCGTAGGTATAACTACAAATCAAAAGTTCCTCCTAGCTATCATGAACAACCCACGCTTTCAATCAGGTCTATTTGATACCAATTTTATTACATTGGAAAAAGATAGTTTGTTCCCCACTTCCACGTATCCTGATGACGTAAAAAATAGTATCCTAGCTGCCTTTTTGTTCGATTGGATCTTACGTCGTAATAGGCAGATATATCTTAGAAACATTCAACCTGGTTGGCGAAATGTTCAATGGCGTTATCAGCGTCTTAACTTTGCTATTGGGTATGATAACAAACGTGAGGAGGTTCAGGTTCAATACGATTATTTAGGCGATCCTGAGCATAGAAAACACCATTTATTTAAAGCTCAAGTACTTGGCAAACAAGCAATTCGACAAGAAGAAGATGCAAGTGAATTACCCATCTCAATCACTCTTTTTGAAACTGAATTACAAAAGGAGGTGACCAGTCCAAAAGGTATCATCGGCGGTAAAGGTCTTTTACGTTGTACTATAGGTAAAAATTAAATAATAATCATTGCAATACACATTTTTACGAATACATGGATATTAGATGGCTCTCAACACTATTTTTATATTGCTGAAGATATAAAAGATGTAAACGAAAAAATTATTTTTGTTCACGATTTTATTCGTGGATATCAAGTTGAATTGGCTAAGGTGGATCGTCATAAAAGCAAAATTACTATATCCGAAGATGATCGAAGTAAATAAAGGAATTATGAACATTATACATTTTCTAATTCATATAATTCTTCCTTAGCTATGCCTTATACATCTTCTATGCCATGTCGTATTCTTAAAATTATTGCTCCTACAGGAACCATTGTTAAAAAGAACAGCCCTCTTTTATCTATTGAATCAATGAAAACGGAAGTTAAAATCCTTAGTCGTCATAATGGTGTTGTTACAATGAGAGTAAAAGAAAACCAGCTAGTTGATGCTAGAGTACTTTTGTGTTCTATTGATGAAAAATAAATAATCCAAATTATTCATATACTTTTTTCTTTTTCACATTAAATCAATTTTTATTCTTGTCTTGAAAAAAAAAAATAATAATTGTGTTTTTACACTTTCAAATTAAGTTTATGTTCCATAGCTGTATGAATGTCGATCGAGTCGGTTGACATGGCAGGATCTAATAAAATGAAAATATAAAGATTAAAGAAAAAAAACGGCTTGTATGTTTACTGATAGCTTACCATTAAGGAAATCTTCATAATCAATTGTTTCGTCTTTACCCATTAAAATATCTAAATGTAGGTTTGAAGAGGGAATAACAGGCATACGTTGACGCTTTAATTTAATAAATATATAAAATTTTATTAGTAATTTTAAAAGTGTATAGTTTTTTTATTAATTTATTTATTTATTTTACCTTTTCAACAATGCTTTTTTCCATCATCATTTTGATTGGTGCATGCATACCATAAGCTTGACGTGCCAAATTTAACTTTAATTCCCATTGTGTCTCTTCCCACTATTAATAAGTTGGTTAATGTGTATATGTATATATATAAAGAAATAGTAATATTTAATTCTTACTTGATTCAATCTGTTTTCGAGAGGATGACCGGATAAAACTTCAGCTTTAATGGAACGAGTACCATAACGTAATGCATCATGACCACCATATTCTGAATGAGTCGTGTTTAGGGTACTCATAACCTTTTCAGGATGTGATTCGGGAGCAATACGAAGAGCCTATTGGATGAAAAAAAAAACAGATTAATTATATTAATTGTGTGCACTCATGTTCATTGAATCCCTTAGTATACCATTTTTATTCTTATTTTTATTAAAGCAGGAAAAAAAAAAGCAAAATAAACAAAACGCTTGCGCGTCGTCTTATGAATTTAAAAGCAGTCATACCATTACATTTAATGGTAATTTAACTATGGCATTTTTTTTTTCTATCTACTATTATTTCAGTAACCACATTTAACTATATCACTATCCAGTAACTGTTTTAGTCTATTCTTGAAGAACCAAGTAAAATTGATGGTTGAATAAAAGTTTGACTAATGGATGATTCAATAATCAACCATGTAGATTTTGTTTTTATTTTTTATAATTAAATTCATTGAAGAAGAAAAAAAAATAGTTTGAATTAATGCTCTATTCATGAAAAGCTAGACGAGATGTTCATTCAATGAAAACATATAGAATATTATTTCTATAAATCAATTTATTATTCATCAATTGATTTTTTCATGATTTGAATGAGGAAAGAAAAAGAAAATGTGATATTTATATAACGATAATGTCAGAATAAAATAAAAAGAATGAGTGAAGTCAATGAAAGCAAGTAATAGTTTCCTTATAATAGGTATTTATATAAAACCATTCGAGCTCAGGGAAGTGTTATAAAAATGTTTAGGGCCACAGCCAAATATCATATTTAATACAAGTGCCTATATGAAGTGTACAACAGTGTCATTTTAATTTTATAGATCATATAAAGAAGTATAGCAATATACTGAAATCCCTTCATTGATACTATTT